GGTGGGGCAAGACTTCCCATTTCAGCGTTTCCAGGTACTTTTCGACCACTTTTGCGACGTGAGGCCGAGCATTGCCTCGTACGGCACCCAGTTTTCTTCTTTCTGAATCATGCCCAGTGCCTTGAGACGTTTTTAAATGGCTTGCTGACTCACTTCCAACGATTCGACAAGCTGTTCTTGGGCTTGGCACGAATCTTCATCAAACAATGCTTCTAGTTGTTCATCTTTGAAGGTTTTTTTCTCTTCCATTACCATGTTTGTCTTCGACGTCGAAATCACCATTTTTAAAACGTTGAAACCACTCCCGACAATTCTTTCACTCAGAGCAGCATCATCGTAAATTTCTGAGAGCATTCGATGCGCTTCAGCTGAATTTTTCTTTTTCAAATTGCAAATGGCGAGAATTAGGAACATAAACGGACATTCTTCTGGCACTGTCCACACTCACTTTAACGGCATTATCATCTATGTATTTCAACAAGCCTCAGCCGGTACAGCCACCTATCGGAAAACGGTGGAAGCAAAGTTGTATACCTGATATAATAATCTCGAAAATTAAAATTATTATTTTTACTACTCAAAAGCGCTCAAATCTTAAAATCAGGATTGAATGCTAATTTTTGCTGGTGGGTGTTTAAAAATATTTAAGTCCAACGAATGCAGCGCACCCAAGGCAATGCGGTTTTTGTTGACGGTACGTTGTCGTGGAAAAGTAGCGAACCTTTCATAAATTTTCTCCATATTTTTCTTTAATTCCTTTTTTTAGTCGCTCTAATATTTAAGCACAGTCTTCAGTTATATAAATACTTTTTTTCATAACCGATCAATAATAAGTCCCAAAAAATCGTTGCCATAAGCTTCACAACTGGCTATGAACATTAAGCTTCTTATGTGGTACTGAGGCCTTCTTATGCCAACGCTGCTCAATACACTGTTCTTATCTTCAATGTAGAGGTCAAAAATGTGCATGAATACTCCACGCTAGTAGTATTTTCGGCACTCATCTGCCGCTGACCTTAGGCATGACAAGGTGATCGTGCAGGATTTGTTTGTATTTTAGTTGAGCAATGTTATGAACATTTTCTACAGCTTTTTGGATGAGTTCTGGCGTGGTCACATCTATGCTTCTGCGTAGCCTGAGGTGGGAAGATATCGAAGACGAGCTCTAAATAAAGCCAGACAGGAACAGAGTATGTGTTCCAGTCAGACTCATGGCATCTTCTACTCATTTCGATCAGCGTTTGATGACAGTAGATTGTGAGTTGTCATTAGGCCTATAACTGCTCTGTAATCCTTTCGAAATCGCGTTTGCATGTGCTTCTGTACATGATTTTGGATGCATTTTTGCACCTGACCGGTCTTTGAGTGTTTCTTGTACTGGTTTGGTAGTCATATGGATGACACTTGTTGGCAATCTCCATAACTATTTTGTTTCCCGGAATGTCTTTGCGGCTTCTAACACAGTATATATAGATACCGGCCCTGATTATGTCATCAATTTTTGTTAGAAACAGTAAATTGAGTTCTTTAGCACCCTCGACCTTGATTAAGGGTTTACTTTATCTCAATTTCTACTATGGAAATTTCACAGAATGTAGAGGTTTTCAATTCTTCCTCTCTTTTCTTGTAATAAATCATTTGCAATTAAATTGGGTCGGCATAACGGTTCGGAAAACCCCACTTAAATGTTTTTTTTTATACATTTGCTCTCATTATAGTAATCTAAAAATATTCGCAGCATTTATTTGGCTGTTGCAATTCTACTTAATTTGCCTTAAATTGTTTTTGCAATTCTTAATCTTTCTACTTCTTTTAATGTTATTGTTGCGGCAGTATTTATTTGCTTGCATTTCGACGAATCACTTAAAATTAATCATTTCTATGTTTCCCATTGTTTGCCGTTCGCTTTTCCACTCACTCGAACGCTTTCAATCGCCATTAACAACAAAACAATATGGATAATGCAATTTTCATTTGTTGTTGTTGGCGTTGTTGGTGCTTTCATAAATTTCCACCCCACTCAAAATTTGAATTGTGTAATTTAACCTACATTGTTTTGTTGTTGTTGTTGTTTTTTATTGTTATTATTGTTATTATTGTTGTAATTGTTCTTATTGCAGTTGTTGTTGTTGTTGTTGTAATAGTACACCATCATTGTACTCGGTGTTTTGTATTGTAGTATTTTCAAGCACTCAGCTTCCCTCCCCGTTCAGCACCATTGTTGTTGCGCAAGTGTATAAAACAACAACATTTCTGATGCATTCTATTCATGACCTCCATTGTTTTAATGCCATTTTTTGTTTGTTATTTTATTTATTTATTTATATATATATACTTTTTTTGTTGTTTGTTGTTGTTTTAACACTGTTAGACATATTAAGAAGTTTTCACTTGTACATATGTATTTATGAGTTATTTTTGGTGCTTGTAATAGATCTGTATGTGTGAATGTTGTATACTGAGTTTCATTCATAGCGCAGTTGATTGATTGCTTTTTGTAGGTTTCGATTTTTTTAACTACTTTTGCTATTTTTAGTGGTCGTTTTCGTAAACTTTGTCAATTAATAGAGTAATATTATTGTAGATGGAAAAGGGAGGATTGGGGTTTGGGATATCGTTTGTGAGCGGATGTTCTTCCGAAGTGGGGTTTGTGGTGGGTTCTTGTTCATAAAGCAACATCACCATGCAGTGCACCTTAAGACCCATAACTAAGCCAAAAGTGGGCTAGGTAGTATCTCTCTATAATATGCGATGGTGGTCTGTCTAAATTAAATAACAGTTGTATTTCTAGCAGAATCGACAGCTGTACAAATGACTTGAAACAATGCAATAATTATGAAGAAGTAAAGATGTTAAGATCAATGGAAACATTAAGTTATGTGCGGAATAAAAATCAGCCTATGCTGCCTGACTAGTATGTGCTGTTAACGAGATCTAGCTAAACACATTTTAAACCCATTAGGTTTGTGGCAAAGCGCATCTACATTTCCCGTTTCCCAACTCATGCTAGATCTAGTAAAATGAATCCATTTTGGTTTGCACTAAATTGAGTTAACCGATTTATCTCAATTTAGCACTGTTTTGCTTGACAACCATTGGCCACTTTGAAGGCAATGTCACCCTAATCATTTGCCATAGACAAAGGGTAATTCTTTGGTGGAAGGTCTAGACTATAAGCTGTATCCCAAGAACTGAGGGATTAGCTTGCTTACCAATAGATAAATATACGAACTCAGATAGTTGTCTTACATATTTCGGAGCAGAATTAATGTAAGTCATGTTACTTTGGAAGAAAAGTGACTTTGAAAAGTACAAATTGCTTTAGTATTTTTATTCTATGAGACCTACCTTAATTTCGTGCCTCGAAAACCCTATACAATTTAATCGGTGCATGAAAGTGGTGTACTCGTATAACGTAATATTAAGATCGGCGGATTATTGCTGAATAGAATTGATTACAAGCAGTTGAAAACCGGCTGATAACTGGTAAATGCCGACAATGGTTAGTGACTGGTGACTGGTGATTAACCTACATTCGTCTAGGGATAGATGGTTAATTATTACTCTAGGAATGGACAATGCCTAGTTCAAACTTGGAACTCATTATTCCTGACGATTGTGAATATATCGTGAGCATCATCGTTCGAGTAGTTGAATGCTGCAAAAATGGGAGCTGAAACATTTGATGGCGGTTAGGACAGCAAGATAATTCGAGGCTCACAACATCCAACCTCAGTTGAGTGAGTTGTAGTTACTATTTAAGTGCTAGATTTCTTAAAAAAAAATTACCTGTTCACGTAAAACTGCTCTTTCACCAATAAATTGAAGAGATTCTGAAAATGACTTTGTTACAAAATATTTCGAGCGACATTTAGCCGCTTGAGAACTTTCAACCAAATCCTTAACACTTTAAGATATATCAAAGCAATGAATGGGGGTCTATAAAACTAGAAAAAAGTCAGCGTTGGTACACATAGATCGATCTTTAAAGGACTACTTACTATTCTCATTATAATGTTCTTTTTTTTTCAAATAAAATTGTTTGTATGCTTCTAAACCTTTTCTTTCTCGAAAGTAGAATAAATCTCTTTCTGATTTTTTTTGACTATGTAACAAACGAAAATGAAGTTAGCAGTTAAATATTACCTTAGCAGTAATCATACATCATAATTGGTGATAAAAAAGGCGGATAAACAATGCATTTCAGCTTACGATACTTAGATGCAGGAAAATTCCAAGCTGATGAGGTTTGCATTCAGTAGAATCCAAAGATCCAAATTCGATGTGCCGTTTGAGTTTATATGGCTTTAATTGGCGATTAATCTTGAATTCTTCATGAAAAAGGCTAAGACTTGATTAAAAAGGCACATTTTTCTCAATACACTCACCGGTTAAACTAATAGTTACTATTATTCTTTAACTAATAAATAGTAAAACAAAAAAAATATTGTCTAACAAAGTTTATCACACTGAAGAATGAAGTCCATGCTTAAAAAAGCAAATGCCATTTATTATTTTATGTTATATATTTTTCTATAGTAATGAAAAATCGCTTCAGCGGTTACAAAGCGCCAATTATAATGAAAATAAAATATTTAACCTAATAATTTTTAATTAGTTTGAAAATTCAAAATGAACTCATAGACTGATATATGAAAAGAAGTTTGGCGGGTCAGCTACTATAATACTTATATGATCGATATCTCATAAGTGAAATTTTGCGTGTTTACTACTTTCTCTTCCAACCTAAATCTCGTAGTAAGAACTCATTTTGAACACTTTTAATGGCTTTTCGATTAGACCTCAATATTGCATTGAAGGTTTTTTTAAACAAACGGATTAAGTGCCAAAAACTTGTGATATAAATCTTTGCATGAGTCCCAATTATGTCAATTAAATGACATTAAAAGCGATAATGAACGGGAAAAAAATAAAAAATAAAAATGTTTTAATATAAAAAGTTTCTAATTATATAATACATATGCATATATATTTTTCAGTCAAAATTTGATTTGAAATTAACCAAAAATTGACGTAAAACTCTGAGTTACGTAATAAAAGCAAAAAAAAAAAAAATCAAAAAAATAGTGCATAAAAAGTATTAAAATTGCTAGTGCAATATTAAAAACAATCACACAACACACACAAATTCATTAAAAAAACAAACACGCATTAATAATATATGTGCGCTGAAAGAAACAATGAGAATTGCTATCATATATCAAAAGCAGCTGCGAAAGCGCTCACAAAAATAACAAAAAAAAAAAATTAGACTACAAGCAGCAGCGACAGTGTTGCAGTGAACGAAAATAAATTGGTGTTTGTAGTAGTAATAAAAGAACCTCAACAACATGCCACTATATGCATACACTCATCTATATAAGTGTGCGTATTTTGGCATTTTTCAATGCATTAATCAGTGAAACAACAAGCGGGAAGAACAACAACAAGCTGTGCAAAAAGCTTGGACATTACGCAAAACTAAGTGGCATACTGCCACAGAAACAGACAACAACAAAAAGAACAAGAACACTTGCCAAAAGTAGCAGCGACCGCCTCCCCTCAACAACGATTCCAAAGGGTCGATATTAATTTGTTCATTTTTCTGGCAAAACGTGCAAAACAACGTCTTGCCATAAATATCGAGCTACGCCAAGCAGCCAGACACACACACACGCACACGCACGTTGTGCGAGCTAACGCGTCGGTCAGGTCAGATCAGTTCGAATTGTTGTGAAACAAATTGCTTGTTATCCAAACTAACACAGCGAAATACAACTAACAGTAGTTGTAGCGTCAGAGAGAGAGAGAGAAAGAGAGCGCGAGAAAAGGAGGAATAGATATTAAAAAATTGGTAAAGCACAAAAAAAATTGCATTAAAATTAAAAATTGCAAAAAAATATTGTAAGGAGTTAAAAAAATTAAATAAATTATTAATATAAAAAATAAGGAAATATTTTCAACGCTTTTTTTCTACAACAACAACGTCGCAATTAAGTCCGTCCAGCGTTACATGCAAAACATAAAAAGTTTCTTTTTTGCTTTTCTTAAATTTATTTACATTTTGTTGTTGCAAGCAAAATAAAAAATAAAAACCGAAAAAAATCAAAATAAAATAAAATTGTTGTGAAAAAGTGAAAAAAAAAATTAAATTAGAATTTAATGCCGGAACTATATATATTATTAATAAAGGAATACAAGCAATGCTCCTACGCCTTCAATTCTAAAATTAGTCCTCAACACGGCAATAAAACTACAAAGCCACAGATAAAAAGCTAATTTTCATTTGCATAAATATATTTATAATAAATTATTACTGCTAAGTTACTGTAAACTATAAGCTTTTAATTGATAATTATTAATAATACCCCTATATACATATATACAAACATACACGCCGTAAAGGATAAATAAAAGTGTGTGTGAGCGAGAAAGTTTTACAAGCATACATATATATAATACATACGAGTATATACAAGAGAGTAAACATAGTAATCGGCATTGCAACAACAACTGCCTTTATATATATACATAGTGAGACGTGACCGGCGGCAATATTGACTTATGCCTTTATTGGATGGCTTCATTATCGAGCAACTGGGACGTCTTCATAGTCGTACATATATAATTTATTTCAAGAAGAGGCATTAAAAGGACGTACGAGGACACGAAATTTGAATTTGAAAAAGACAGTGTACTACAACAACAACAACAACAACAACAACAACAACAACAACAACAAAATAAAAACAACAATAACGGTAAATTACAAAAACGTGAACGAAAAAAAGGAAAAACAACAACAACAACAATTGTAAACTCAAACATCAACAACAACTAGTAGTAACAACAATTACAGCAAAGGGTTCAGTTACAGATAACAACAACAACAACAGCTGTTGTAATTTATAACTGGAACAACAGCAACAACTGCAACAGCATGAACCAAAAGGAAAAGGAACAACAACAACAACAATTATAAACTCAAAAAACAACAATTATTCTAGGAGCTGGTAGTAATAACAGCTGCAATAAAGGCTTTAGTCACACATACAACTAAAGCGGCTGGAAATTCTAACCAGAACAACAATAACTCCAACAAAAAACTACAGCTAGTTTACAGCGAGAAGATCCAATACAGCAACTGAATATTATTTATAGCTAAAATTGCAACAACAATAGCTATTTCCATAACAACAACAACTCATAAGAATAACTACAAAGGACAAAAATCCGGGCATTCCACATTGAGAGACATAGACGCTCGCACACGCATTTGTTGCCTTTTCAATTAATATTGTATATTTGTTGTTTTACAGTTTATTGTTGTAACCTCTTATACATTTGTGTGTGAGTATCGTGAATGTCAAGTTTTGTCATCAACATATGAATTTTTGATAAAGCACGAAGCAAACACAAACAAGCCAGATAGAAAAGCGTAGCTACATATAGAAAAAGAAATAGAGAGAGAGAGAGAGAGGGTACGTGCGATAAGTCAAAGGAGCCCTCAGGGCGGTCGAGAACACAGTAAGTGCAGTACAAGCAAGCGGACAACGAAAGAACAAGAAAGACCTCCGGCGCTCATTCGCTACTTGTGTTTGACCAGCTAACAAACGACATACGCACCGCACATACATACACACGTATGTTTATACATGGAAATAAGATACACTTATAACTATAAAATTTTTAAATACCCAAAGCTATAAAATAATTACGCAAAATAACAAGTATATATATTTACATATATATGTGTATGTATGTATGTATGTAAAAGGATACTAAGGCAAAGAAGCACTAATTGCCGCCCACTAACAACGAGCAACACGGCACACATGCAAACACAAACAAATAAAAGTCAGTACATTTGGACGCCTGACTTTGTAACCAGCGCATATTAAATATGTACATGTATGAGTGCTGCGTGGGACGCAAATTGAAAGTTAGATAGAAACCACACACACACACACATACATACATACACGCACAAACGCATCTAAATAAAGTTGAAGTGTAGGCAGCGCGACCGCCTGCAGTCTTTAAAATACACCAGTTAAGCCACCGGTATTGAGCGTTAGTGGGTAGCCGGTGCGTATGAGTGACAAACTTGTAGATGAAAGGTAATTAATTGTAAAAACACCAGCGAGGGAGTCATTCGTTATTAACGAAAAACCAAAAAAAAAAAAAGGAAAGGCAACAACAACAAAACCGCATTTAATGCGCCAGCAGTGAGCATAAAGGATAAAAGGTGCTAAAAAGCGTGATTTCAAAAGTGTGTACGTAAGGTTGTCACTTAAGCTACCAACCTACATACGTACGGTTAATTTTACTGCCACAGCTGGTTGTGCGTGTGTATACTCGTTGTATATGCGTTGAGCTACATTAGCTGTTTAGCTTTGTAGGCGTCTACAACCACAACAAAAACAGCCAACGGGTGTATTTCAGGCTGCAAAGCCTAATGAGCGAAGAACTTAAAACTTAATTAAGAGAAAATATGAATCATGAGTAGAAAGGGTTCATTTGAGACAAGCGCAGTAATAATTTTGAAGGCGTAAAATAATTTAATAAAAACCAGAATAGAAATATATATGTAAAATACATGAAAGTTATGTATATTTATGCACAGAGCTAAATTGAAATCACACTGAACCCACAAAAAGAGCAAGGTAGAGTTTTTATGCTAACAAAGTTGACAGTTCTGGGTAGAAAAAAAGTATTACAAAGCGTCAAGAAACATTGAAAGTAACGGAACTTGCGGAAAAAATACCCTGCTTTGTCCAGCTACTAAATATCGCCGAAAATAAATTGAAAATATAAAATCAAATTGAAAAATTCAAGCAAACCGTCAAATAAAAGGAGGTTGTTGGGTCTTTTCAACTAGCCAGAAATCAGATTTTGCGTAGCGTAAAGTAAATTTTCGACTCAAAACGAGAACTGAAATATAGTGCGGAGACAGAAGTGTCATTAAAGAGGAAGGAAAAAAAAATTCACACACAAAAAAAAGTTATGAATTCTCAACCCACGTAAATCAGCAATTTATTTCTCCACACTTATCGCATCAACGCCATTTGGATGCTAAGCAAGAGCAACAACATCAAATTTAGATGACAACACTAACAACTTAGAAAAAAGACAAAATAAGAAGAATAAAATAAAAATAAGCACAATAAAATCCAAACAAAAAACTAAAATTACACAAATCCATAACGACGAAGACAACTTTTAACGCTAAACATCTTTTTGACACGACAATGGCATCAAAGAGCGGGTCGTCAAACAAGCCACAGACAGACAGGCAGTCGCATTAAAGTAAATACAACAACAAAAACAACAACAACAGCAAGTAGGACAACAGTAACTGAAGCAATAATAATACCAAAGGCGACACACGGACAGTTGATTTGCCGCAATAACAACACTAATAGCAAGAACAACAACACTAGCAATAGCTGAATAAAACGCTATACTAAATACATGCCGTAAATCGTTGCTGTCCAACTGACGGTTTGTCTACAAAAGCTTTCATTTCAGCAGGAAATGGCAAGAAGCAGCAAATAAGAACGGAAAACCCAAAACAAAGTAAAGATAAAAATTCTTAACTGAAAGCAGCATAAATACAAATATTGTGACATGTCATTTGACGTGCATGCAGATATACGTGTATGTCACTAAAATCTTGCAACAACAATAAAGTAAGTTAAATAAGCGACAAGGAAGCGGAAAGTACAGTAAAATTAGCTAGTCAGGCAATACACGTGGAATAGAAAGCAAGCAGCGCCAAATCAAGGCGCAGAAGAGTGAAGCGTAGCAGAAAACTCCCCTGTGATATATATAAATTGCACTGTAACATAATTTAATTAAAAAAATATATTTTAAAAAATAATAATCATAATAATAAAATATAAAATTAAATTTAATTTGCAAAAATAATCCAGCTACTTAAAATTGAAACTAAAACGATTAAAAATAGTACGAAAAGCTAAGCTGCTAAATTAGTTATAAAAGGATTAGTAAAATAAGCAAAGCAACTGTAAAACGTAGCAACAACGCACGTAAATTTTATTGCATACAAACACAGTAGGATAAGACAACAGTAGCAACAACAGCAACAACAACTGTAAAAACTATTCAGTATTTTATATAAATCCTCCAGCAACTTGAATTATAAAACGAGAAAATAATACAAAAATATAAATTAAAATAATAAAACTTAATTAAAAATTATAAAGTATTTCAAACTAAAGTAAAAAAAAATATATTTTATTATTATTTAACACATTAAAATAATTACACCAAATCAAAATAAACTAAAATAATATAAATAAAATATAATATAACCATAAAAATAATATAAAATATAAAATAAAAAAATTAATTAAAATCAAACAAAATTATAGAAATTAAATAAATTAAAATAAAAAATTAAATAAAATAGAAAAATGAAATAAAATTAAACAAATTATATAAAATATATTTATTTAAAATATATTTGGAAGAAAAATCAAAAAGCGAAATTGATTAATTGTATAAAAATATTATATATTAAACGTGAAAAATAATAAATAATAAATTTAATGAATTAAGCAATCAACGCAGTAAAAGTTATTTTTTATAAGTAATTAAAAATTGAAGGAATAATAAAGCTGATAAGTTAAAACGCTAAGCATGAATTGAGCAAACAGTGGCGCTATATGACAACAATCAAGAATTGACAAGCGTAAATAAAAATAGCTTTTTTGTTTTAATTCTAAAATATCCAACCTCTTATGAACTTCATATAACTTCGTACGGAATCGACGGAACATAACAAGCAGCAGACGTTAGTGAGTCTTCATACATTTGCTCAAAAACAAAAAAAAAAAAAATAAAAAAAAACGCATAGAAAAGTCGCATAATCGTCGATCACAGAAATAACAACAGCAACAACAACAGACAGCCACAAAAATGGGTGACGAACTAGAAGAACGTACCTTCAAAGAAAAGATGCTCTTCTACACCACTGCCTTCTTCATACTCCTCGGCACATTTAGTATGTTCGCATTCCTCTTTCTCGTCCCGTTTGTCATAGAGCCCGCCTTCACAACGATCTTCATGCAGTTCGAGGAGGTGCCCGCGTTGTGTGAAACCTACGATGTGGAGACATTTTTCGGCGCCAAGAATTGTTCGTGGGCCTCATGTCGTGAGGGTTGCACAAAGGACATTTACACGTGTACACAGATACGCGTCAATTATCGACTGAATTTATACAACTATACAGATGAATTCAATTTCACTGAATATCATATTAATTTGGCCGAGGCGGAACGTGAATTGCCGCCTGTGAAGCGTACCGATCGCTATGAGCGTGCCATACGTGATTATGATTATGATGCGGCTACGAGTGATGCCGCCAAAGCGAATCAGTTGGATGTACCAATGGGCGCAGCTGCGGCGAGTGCGCTAATGTCCGGCCCATCAGCGCCGATGGCGGAAGCGACGGTGGCGGCGGCGGCGGCGGCGGCGGTGACGGCGACGGGTAATGTGCAGCTGAATACGATAAGCTTTGGTGCGGAGAGCATCGCAATTGGTGATGGCACAAGTGGTTATCTCGTCGATGATGAGCCTAGCGATGACGATATGAGTATGGGTGGCGTTGGTGGTCCAGGCACTATACTATTCAACGAGGAACGCCATCCATTCGATGAGATCTCCGAATTGAATGAAGGCCTTATGGGCAATAGTTCAATGTATTTTTATGTAGGCGCACGCCTATTCCCCAACGTAAAGGGTTGTGGTTATCCGCCCATGCTCAACTGTACAATTTGGTTGAAACGATACACAAAGATTGGTATTAAGTTTCCCTGCTACTACTCGAAGGTCGATCCAAGTTTAGTGATAAGCGATTTGGATTATTGGCAGAACACATTGAATCTGATCTATTCGATGGCCATACCGATACCATCGTTCATTATATCAGTTATATACCTGACATATGCATACTTCAAAATCTATAATGAGGATGAAGAAACGGCGCCGCTCGATAAGAATGCCGAAGATATGGATATTGATGAGGGTGAGGTGGATGAGAGTGATGGTGCTGCGTTGGCTAACAATGCTGCCGGCAGTCAAATAATCAATATGGACTCGACGACGGGTGAGAGTTGTGTAGATGTTGTGCTGCCGAACGGTGGTCCCGGCATGACGACATCAATATCACAGGGCGGTTCGGTAACAACGCCCGGTCATTATTTACCGCAATCGCCGGTCGGTTCACAGATGACACCAAATTCCGATATGAATTCGTTCGGTCATCAACTTAAAGTGCAAATGGCGGACGAACTGTCGAGGGACTCGCTGGAGAATGGTGTGCTGTCGACATCGAATTCGGTGCAAGGGTAAGTTGCAAAGTGATGGGAGTCGTAGAAAGTTACAATTCAAGCACGAATACATATAAAAAAGATACCTTAAAACAAAACCTTAATACAATAATATTCGATTCTGAGCACTTGAAATGTATGGAATTGTCCTGAGAACAGTAATATTTTGGTAACGAAATACTCATGTGCGTTTATACAAATTTACATAATAATCAGCCGACATTTGTTACCAATTATGCGCCTAAAATGATGTCTCGTTTCCCGTAGTGAATAAAACTAGTTGTGATGATGTTAAATCAGAAAAATTCGAACAGTGTTGCAAAGTTTGTGAAGAGTTGAGTTGTGTTGTGTTGATGGGACTGCTGAGAGTCCGGCGCTTATTGTAGTTGGAGTGATACCTCTTCACTCTAGCCCCTCCGCTGCATAGTTGTCTGGCTTGTCTCCTTGTCCGACTGTCCAGATTACGGCTGTCTTTCATTTAACTGAGGGCATCTTTGAAATAATTCTTCATTTTAACGCCACTATTGACATGGTGTAATGGTGTTTTTCTGCGCTCTAACCAGAGATCCGAGCTTCCGTCATTGCAATATGTTTGGCTTGAAAGATGCTGCAGTAGTTTATAAGTCTCAAATAAAAACTGGTTGAGAGCGTTGGTCTGCGAATTCCACAGCCTACTTTTTCGTCGAATTTAGAACCACTCAATCCATTGTGCGTAGTACGATACCTCCACGCTAAGGCGTGTTCAGTTTAATTAAGTTTGTCGTACAGAGCTAATGCAAGCAAATTGAGAAGAGTTTCCAACCAACCAAGGCGCCGAAGGGAGAGCTTCGGTAATGAGAAAAGTTGTCGATCTCTGATCTCTGTCCAGTTTGCTCCTGGAGGTGATTTTATTTGAGTGGCCAAATGGAAGTAATTGCGTAGAATAAAATGGGCCTATCTACCGCTACATGAGTCCAATGAACAATAAATGGTTTTAGGACCCATCTCTTTTCAACGACCGTTTTACATGCAGATACTGTAGTAATAGCTTACTTCGACCTTACCGCCGTATTTCATCTCCAGTTGAGTTCACCAAGATATTTGACTTCGGTAGAAAGAGGGATTTGCATGCCTTTTATTTTTAGTGGATTAAAAGGAAGTGGTTTAAATCTTTTTTTTTTTTTTTGTGAAAAGAACCTTGTCAGGTTTGTCTGAGCTGATAACCAGCTCACATATTTACATTGTACTAGTTTCCTGTCATGTGTAGGGTATTTTGGAATACATCACTTAAGCTTTGCGGATACTACTCTGTTGCTGTTAGGACACCACGTCGCTAACTGTGCTAAGTAGTTGCCGAATTGGCATGCTCACTATGAGGCATCCTAGCAGTAGCAGATAAAACTTCCCTTTGAGGAGTACATCTTGTGGAGTATCTGGTATTACAGGAATTGGCCATCTAAGCGAAGATAATTTTGTTACTCAGGAGAGATTACACGAGCCCTACAACAGTCTGCTCAAGATCCCTTTCATGTACAGCTTCGATTAAGGCCTCGATACAAGCAAAAGTGTGTAATACTCAACAGAATTTTTTTGAATAATGTTGTATTCATTTTATTTTTTATTTCATTACTTTTAAACAAGAATTCATTATATACAAATTCATTAAGTTAGCTTTTTAAACATCCCAACCTTAGTTGGCAGATTAAACAAAATCGCCTCTTTGGTTTAAAGATATTTGTGCGTACGGCACATTCACACTGTAAATAACCTTATTTATATATTTTCTATCTTTATGTCATTATTTCTTATATACATTTATATATGTATTGTTTATTACATCAATTTAACAAATTACTCAAATTACTTTTATGACTCACAGCAAGTTAATTAATCATGCTTAATATTATTTGCTTTATCAATGTTTGCTTACATCCTTTTAACCTTGTTTGTCATTCCATTTATCTACAGTCGTTGAGTCAATTGTGATTTTATCATAGAAATGGCTCATCTCGATACGGCGCAACTGAGCTCTGCTCTTGTAGACTTATTATTATGAGGTTGAAGGTGTTCTTAAGTTTTCTTAAATGCATAATAGATTTATGTTGGTGCATGTGCTTGTGTGTATTTCTTTGAGAATATACATATTTGTACTAACATTGCAGCAGATAATCATTTTAACGGTGCAGTTGCCAATTTATAATGACAAGAATTTTACCTACTTAGATTTATCATTGACGGAAAAAGCTCGCTGACAGCCTTGCACTATAAACTTAATTAATCAAATAATAAATAAAAATAATTAGAACTAATTTGAAAACGATCTTTTGTGCACCTCAATTTTTCTGTTTGACTAAAGCTCCTCATCAAACATAGCTTTAAAATTAATTCTAATTATTTTTCTGTTTGCTACATCATTAATAATACGTAAAAGTGAAATTTAATTTTCCTCAAAAAATATTTATTTTCTGATTGAATACTTTTCCGTTTCCTTGAAAAGTTCAGCGATGCGGTTTTTATCTCAAACTTGCGAACGGAAAAGAATCGCAGATGGGGAAACACGGTGACTGAAATATAAAAACATTTGAGAGAGAGAGAGAGAGAGAGAGAGATGATTTAGACAATTTGAAAAGAAAAGTTAAAATAGAGAGCTAAGTTAAGACTTCTCTTATCGTAGAAAGAGTACAGTCGTATGACCTTATCCGATCGCATTTCAACCAAATTAGTCCAAATTTTATTCACCTTGCTTATAAGTAAACTCCTTAATTTAGCAGTCTCCTAGCAAAGTGCATGTGAGTTTTAGTGAGTTTGTCAGTTTGTCTTCCTTATGGTTTTCATCTATATTACTGTGGCTGGGCAGCGAAGTGAGAGATGGTTTGTTCTGCTAGACAGCCCCTGTAGATATTGACGTCAGCAAGCCAATCGACTTAATCGCATCGGCCAGAAATACACTACAGTAGCCGCATAGACTAAAAAAGACCACAGAAAATCTCTTTCGAGGTTAGATCAAAATGCTTATGCGGTTAACATTGTTTCGTTCAACGTACCATCGGATTCGAAATTTGGGACTGACAGATAATATAGAATGTGCCTAAACTTTGACAAAACGGATTTATTGCCAATCTCCTTTTTAATTTCTCCAAGCAGATTGAATTGGAGTATCTTGTAATACTTGGGATCTCTTTCACGACATAGAGTATAATTTTTAGGGGTATTCTAGCTCCAATAACACTCCAACTAATGGACAATAATTTGCTTAAAATTTGGGCGGAGCCGAAGAAGTGCAGATTAGCATCTTTGAGCGAAAATATCATCTAACGAAAGCATTTTAAAATAATCTTGAAACACTGTCTCTGCATTTTCGTTAGCTTCTGATCACAAAAACACAATTTATTTACACTTAAAATGGCTTTGTCAAGGTATGTCATTAGCAGAATGCTGTCATCACGAGAACTCGGATCATCGATCTACTAGTTCTAAAGGAGGTGGCTTTAGATGATTATCGAAAGTCTTGGGAATTAATCTAAAATACATAGATAACAGTATTGCCTGATTGAGGACAACCTTTTAGTTTTTAAAAATCAATAGAATTTCGGCCTGAGGAAATTTTTTTCAAGACTTTCGAGAAAAGCCATTTGCGAATAACTTTCATTGAAACATCGAAATTCAAAAAAGAAAATTACGCTCAGCCGAAAGTTGTTTATGTTTTCCTTAATCTCGACTTAAGCTACTAAACTATTTTCGAGTTACTGCCGTCATTAGTTCGAAAAACATAGTTTTGAGAGAAACGCACTTAAAATTTCATACGAGCATTCTGGAATTAATTACCTTTAAGCTGTGAGTGAGGCTCATTAAGGGGTTAAATAAAGAAGTTCACAAAAGTAGTTTTCAAGTAATACAAAATATTAACGAATATATAATTTAACAGGTTCTCAAGTTTTACATTATATACACTTCATTACACTTTCTCAATCTCATAATGAAAGCGCAATAGAAAAAATCGTAGAAATATATCTCTGAACTTAAATCTGCTTCTCAATTATTGAAAGCACATGTACACATATAAATATATAAGTATGTTCAACAAACGAGCACAGGTGCAGGCTAATAGCAAAACTGCTGCTCGATTGTACAGAGCCAAGGACATCATTCATTGCTTCTCATTTATAAGGCGAGCAAAGTGCGGAATATTTCTTGGTCATTTGCCTTGCTCATTACACAAATATGCCGGCATATGCACACACACACACGCTCACATAAGCAAGAATGTAAATTTTTTAAATGGCATATAAGTATGTATGTATGTACATTTCCCCATACAAATTGCAATGAGCACAAGACCACTTAACATCAAGACCAGCAATCCGAAATCACAATCAGCAACGGCAGCAGCGCGGTCACAGTGGTCGCAGTAGTGGAAGTGTCTGTAGTGTCGACGGAAATGGTAACCAACCATTATTTGCACACGAATTAATACACAAGTGCCAAATGTCTACACCAATTTCCCAAATTTGTAGCGAGGAGAGGACAAAACTGCATTACAATTTATGTAGGTCGGTAGCGTCAAGTCAATGTGGATTTTGTTGATGGAAAAAGGCATTACAGAAATAAGTGTACAATAAAGATAACAATTAAATTTTGAGGTTATACTTTTCCGGTTTTCATGTTTTAAAATAATTCTCATGCCTTCCTTTCTTACTTCCTACCACATACATACATGTACATGTATTCATATTCGAACATAGCTACAGCTAATGAGCAATGATTAGTGGAATTGAAAATGAGTGGCATAAATGTGTCGATATCCTGGACATTGAGCTAATTCGATTTGTACTTGTATTCAAAGTATATATGTATGTGTGTCATTAAATACGATGTGCTTGGTGTAGGTGCACAATGTCAATTAAATTTCTTATAATTGGATTGTTGAAATGTTCAAAAAGTAGTCAAATAAAGCAATTGGATAAGCTGATTACCGTAAACCTAATCCCATACGAATTCATGTATGCATGCATATGTATGTGATTAGTATGAAGTACTGCAGTTACATACATATGTGTTGCGTTTGAAAATGCAGCTCTCAAGGTGATGAAAATACTGACTTATTGTACATAACTTCAATACTAAGTGGGAAATGAGCCAAGGGCAACTATGCAACCATGCAACAACCAACCTCCAGTTTAAAAAATGATTTTAAAGACCTAGAATATAAATAGAAATATAAGCTTTAAGTTTTCAAATGAAAAGTTTTCTTATTTCCAGTTTGTTATTTTCTCTCTGCACCATATCGTAACACGGGTAGGATGAGCGACTTGTAGAGTTTGGTTTTCGTTCGCCAAGAGAGGATTTTACATTTCAATTGTTTACTTAGTCCAAAGTAGCACTTGTTGGCAAGAGCGATTCTGCGTTGGATTTCAAGGCTAACATTCTTGTTGGTGTTGATGCTGGTTCCTGGATAGACGACATTAGCTACCACTTCAAAGGTATAACTGTCAACAGTGGCGTGGGAGTTAAAACGTGAATGCGATGACCATTCGCTTCGCTTCTTTATCAAGCCTGGAGAAATCAGAACTAACGGCGCGGTTGTTGAGGACGATAATGTCAATATCATCGGCGTACGCCAGTAGTTGTACACTCTTATAGTAGATTGTACCTTCTCTATTCAGTTCTGCAGCTCTTGTTATTCTCTCCAGCAAGAAATTGAAGAAATCACACAACAAAGAGTCACCCTGTCTGAAACCTCGTTTGGTACCGAACGGCTCGAAGAAGTCCTTCCCAATTCTGACTGCGCTTCTGGTGTTGTCTGGCGTCAGCTAACACAACCGTGCAAGTTTTGCGGGGATACCGAATTCAGACATAGCGGCGTAAAGGCAACACCTTTTCCTGCTGTCGAAGGCGGCTTTAAAATCGACGAAGAGGTAGTCGGTGTCGATCCTATTTTCACGGGTATTTTCCGAAAAATTGGTGGTCGTATGGTGATTATCTGGTGATTATCTGGACTTACCAGGTCTGTAGTCACACTGATGAGGTCCAATCAGTTCGTTGACGGAGGGTTTCAGTCTTTCACACAATACGTTCGACAGAACCTTATAGGCAATATTAAGGAGGCTTATTCTGCGGTAATTGTGGATTGGGCAGAGCACACTTAGGTTCCAATCGTCGGGCATGCTTTCGTCCGACCATATTCTGCAAAGTAGCTGATGCATGCGTCTTGTTATGCCTGTCAGCTCCCGCCGTTTTGTCGTTTTTAAGGGAAAGATTGCCATTCGAACTCCGACATGGTCTGGTAATGGAACGTCTTTTCCATCATTATCGAATGGGATTTCGGGCTCACCATCTCCAGGTGTTTCTTTTTCACTGCTGTTCAGCAGGGTGGAGAAGTGTTCCCTACATAAATTGAATATACTCTGGGCATCCGTCACTAGACCACCTCTCTGAGCCCTACATAAGCTTGCTCCCGTGTTGAAGCCTTCCGCCAGTCGCTGCATATTCTCATAGAATTTTCGTGCACTACCCTGGTCGGCCAGCTTTTCAAGCTCTCCGTACTCACGCATTTCAGTCTCTTTCTTTTTTTTTGTCTGCAAATGCGTCTTGCTTCCCTCTTCAGCCTTCGATCTCTGTCCCACCCCGCACCCATCACATCACGACGGATCATTTGCGTATGGCATTCATGCACATATGACAGAATGCAAGATCTCAAACAAGAGGTAGCAATAGCCAGCGCACAAAGTGTTGCAAGCACTGTGGGACTGCGTGGCGTATAAGTGACTAAAATATGCAAAGTTTTTTTTGACATGTGGTTTTTAATAATAAATAAACGGCCTATAATTTAATGTTATGACCAAGAATTTAACTTTATTATAAATATCAGGGCTTGCTACTATATTTTACAAACGATTTCGGGCAAGGGACGGCCTAGGCTGGCATGAATAAAATTCAACCGAAAGGCCCAATTTTCGACCACCTTTTGCATTAAACAGGGTAGATAAGTGACTTCACATAAGTCCAGACAAAAATAGTCTAGTGGTGTTGAATCGCACGATCTTGGAGGACCTCGATAAATTTATTGTGTTTTTGGCTGAGCTGCGACTCAAAAAATATTTATTTTATGAAAACTATTCTCAGTTATAGACATATCGTATGTACACAGTATTTAATGCGGGGAATCAATCACACAAACATATACTAAAAATATTTAGTAATAATTTATTTCTTTGTGTGTCTTTTTCTCTCCGTTCGTCTTTTTAATTTTTTTTTTTTGCAGAAACTTGAGCAAGACGATGACGACGAGTATCTCAACTCCGCCTGGGCCGACGGCAGCAGTTTAAAACGCAAAGTCCATGGCATGGATAATGTACGTTTTCGCATTGGACAATGAAATCTATGCGCCACAAAACTATTTAGCTTTTAAATACAAATCTATCAGCTATCGTTCGAAATTACAATACAAGATACTCTAAATACATAGAAAAAGCAAAAAAAAAAAAAAATTAATAATAATAATAATAAAAATTCAGAAAAAATTACAATATAATAGCTAATATGTATGTACGTATATGAAGCATTTTTAGGCCGCAGCACAAAAACAATTCTCACAAAACGGAAAAGACAATGCAATAAATTTCTAATAGAAAATTATTATGTATGTATATGTATAAGTGATACACACACACACATACAAATACACAACTATGAAAGGGAAATATCAAATACGTGTTGACATATGTATGCATGCTTACATACATACATAGTACATGAGTTCATGTAATTTTGTATGTATGTGTGTATGCATTTGTAAGCTGCTTACTATTTGATAATTATAAATATATATGCATATATTTATATATATATATATATATAGAAATACTATATACTAAAGTACTTGTATTGTAAAACAATTAAGCGATTTAACACGTACACACATACATATATACAGTACAAAGATATATATGAATAACTAACGTCATAGATTATAATGCAAATGGCAAATGAGAAAAGAAAAACTAAATTAATTATAATTACATACCAGCAAATAAAACGCAAATAAATAAATGCAATTCAACTCAATGCATTATTGAATTAATAATTAATAATATTAACTCTAAATTTATAGCGAGCAACAACAATGAAACGTTAATATACAACAAAATTGCTAATATTTCCAATTAATACTCCAATGCTACGCTCAAACATATGATACATACATAAATAATATACTGCTTTTACATGCTACATACATACATACATACATACGAGTATCTATACATGCATACATACACACATATATAAATATTTTAAATTTTCTTTCTGCAAAAATACTCGAGGCGACTTCATTTCAAGTAAGCCCACACCTTTAACACATACACATACGAGAGCATACATACATATATGCATTCATGGCAGCACATACATATATACATTTATATACATACACCTATAAAGCAAGAGCAAAATTTATAAATTCCGTAATGCAAAAATATAATTGAATAATAAATTAAGCTGTAAGCAAAAAGAAAAAAATGAAAAAAACTCAAAAAAAAAAGCAAATATTGAAAATAGTCTAACTTTTAAAGTAAACAAAATACTGTTATTTAGCTAGCCACTTTTACACAAATATCGAAATTGAATTGTAAAACGGACAAGGTAACAGGGGCATTTGAAGTGCAATAAGCCGGCTGAGCTTATAACAAAAACAAAGCAAAAAACACAAAAACGAATAAATAAATATGTATCCTTATTAGGGTGAACCTTATATTTTAATGAGCAAACTTTCCATTGCGAATGACAAGATATTTTACAATGCCCGTTACATTGTACACTCTCGCATTCACGTAACCAATGGAATGAGGCGTGCACTCTCCGGGTAACCTAAGCGTATGTTATTATCTTTAACATGTTTCTAACAACGTTTTCCCCCGAGCAGTTGGATACTTTTTTTTAATTCCGCTAGTATTTCAGTTTGGCTTCATTCAACACTATAATACAAGGTGATTTCCCATAGTCGAAGGTTGTTTTAATAATGACGTTAAGGCAGGTGAATCGTACCTGTATATTCGCAATGAGAGCTGACGGAAAGAATATACGTCTACTTGAGTCATATCCACAAAATTTTTATGATCATACCCACCCACGTTTCTTATTTAAGTTTCCTCGTACGTTATGTCCAGCTATACTCTACTACACAAGTGAGGTTGCTCGCGATTTTTGTTGATGATATGTTCTCTCACAGAAAGAGAGTATGGAGGAGCATTGCTCCAGATGTCTGTTAGAACTATAAGTCTATTATTATTAGTGGTGGTTCAGATTAGTGGTATTGATGCAATGATGGGGTCAGATAAGCTGTTGTTGTTGAAGCTGAATTCCAATCCCGCTTAGGGGCAGGCGAGACTAGTCATGCGACATCGGCGTGTTATAACAGGAGATATGGTAAACGTGCTGTTTCGACAGGTTCGAACCAGAGGCAAGAGAGTTAGATGAGTCTGCTTCAAGGGAATGCAAAGAGATGGCTAGTGCAGTGCAGAGTCTCATTGCATTGTAGGAATTACGTCGACCACAATATTCGGCAGGGAATATCAACCACGCCGAATATTTTGAATGATATGAAAATAATAGTTCGGCATACAAATCCATCGGCCGGTTATTCATTTATATGTTTGTTTGCCTTAGTATTTCACCCAACTGAAGGTACACCCTAATGCTTAGGAAAAATACCATCTAAATAATAAAAAAGCACAAATACTCACGTATGTATGTATATACGAGTAGAGCGCAACAGCAACTGTCATTTACGAGCAAATATCGAGGTTGTGGGCCAAGGTTGGCCAAGTGAAGTGAACATTTCAGTAAAAGAGTTGTACTAAGTACATATACGATATACATAGCTATGCATGTATTAGGTTCTAATTAGTCTTGCAGCTCTATGACGGAGCAGACGTTAAATGGAACTGAGTTAAATGAGTGATGCTGAAAATCTTTTACTTGGAAATTTTAGAGATTTATTATAAATTTAAATAAATTAGAGTTTTTTTTTAAATTAAATTACAAACAAAAAATAATTAAAGTAAAAAAATAAAAACTCTCAAGCGTATTGTTTTTTAATAATTTAAATTTGAATTTCAAATTAAAAGAATTTCTTTAAAAATTTATTGTTCAGCTCTCTCGCCCGCGCTCTTACGGTCTTCGCTTGCAGGCATTACAAATAAATGAAAATCATTTTATTAAATATAGCGGAAAAATAAAGGTTTTTAAAAGTATTTATTTAATATAATTGAAATTAACACGCATAAAGGGAAGGCATAGGAATACAAATAAAAAAAAAAAAAAATAATAATTAATTAAATGAACAAATTTATATATATTAATAATTAATCATATGCATAGTACATACAGATAAATTTAAGTAAATGCGTACGCAAACTCACAGCTTTAAAAAATTGTAAAACAAAAACAAAAAAAAATTTAAATTAAATTAAAATTAATATTTCCTCTACAAAAACAAAATCTCATTCATATTAATTAACTTAGAATGTATTTAAATTAAATTAATTTAAATTATAAGATCAGGTCAACGGTAATTAAGTTACAATTTTTGAAGCAGTGAAGTGAAAAAAATTAAAAAAAAACAACAACTGCAAAAAATAAGGAAATATTAAAAATTAAAAAAAAAAATTAAAAGTTTAAAATAAACTCTTTATTTAGTAATAATTTAAAATTAAAAAAAAAATTTAAAACAAAAAGTAAATACACACGTATATAAATATTACAAAGCTGCTATGCTAAGCAAATAAGCATTCAAAGCCTCACAAAACATTTCTCTTTAGCAAACTAGGTACCTATTAACTAATAAATACCAAAAATTAATGAAACAAAAACAAAAAAAGTACATAAAAAAACATTGTACGCGGTGATTTCCTTTTTTTACAATTATTCTATATATACATATATGTTATGCGCATTTGCATTCGCACATCTAAATTAAAAAATATCAAAAGACAGAAAAAAAAAATTAAACAAAATTAAAATAAAAAAAAGCCTAAAATAAATAAATAAAATTACTTGCGGCAGAAACTGCAACATTTTTAAAATGGAAAATTGACTATTTCATAATAATAATAATAATAATACTAATAATAATAATAATAATAATAATAATAATAAAATATTGTAATGCTATTAGAATTGAAACAATAAAAGGTGAGAGCCCAAACAATAATAAATAAAAAATAATAATAAACGCATTTAGAAGCCGAGTAATGATTTTTTGTATTCATAGCTAAAGGTTTGTATCCCATAAGGATGTAAGTTTCTCTATAAAATAATGAAAAGTTTAATTATGGGTCTATCAGCCGTAATCCGTTTCGTCAGTAGTGTAACCCAAACGGGTACTTAGCGAGTCAGTATATCGTGTACCTCATCGTATATTGGTCTAGTAAAAAATAATCCACTATATTTTCAATAAACGGCTTTATAACGGTGATATTTCAATACGAATAGATGATGTTATCTGCAAAAACGTATAATGGTTTCGGCGATTTTGAACCGGCAAATTTGATGCAAAAGATGCTCTACGGTAGGGAAGGCCACTTGTCGAAAATGTCGAAAACGAAAATGGAAATCCTCGAGCCTGAAAGTCACGAGAGCCCTGCTTACGCAGCAGCTAAATATTGCACAAAAAACAGCTTAGATTCACTTGAAAAGAGCGGATACACAAAGACGCTCGATAAGATGCCACATACTGCAGTTACTTCTACCTAGACATACCTTGGCGTCGATCTTCGGGTGATTACCTTTATACGCCACATGCTCAGATGCAGAGTCGTAAGATCTGAGACCGCGTTCATATAACACAGAGAAAAGGGTGCTTAAGGTGTCCATTGCTCTCTGTATCTACAAAGATGCGATAGGCCGGCAATGAGGTATGTCACCCAAAATAGTGCGTTGGATCTGTACCGCAGTTGTTAGGCCTATACTATTGGTTGTAGTCTGATGGCCAGCATTTGTGAGAAAATGAGTTATCTCCAAATTCGATAGGGTACAGAGGGCGGAGCTCTTGTGCATACGAGGCTATGAATGTTCTCTTTAATCTACTTCCCATTTACATAATGGGACTGCACTATGCTTGCGCCGCGGTAAGGCGACAAAAGGTGTCCGAATGGATAGTAACAAGCCACGGACATACTAGCATCTGAAGAAGATTCCTTCTTCCAGAAAAAAAGGAATTCTGCATATAATTCACTGACTTTACAACAGATTTTAAAGTGGTTATCCCGGATTGAAACCTTTGGGACAGGATATTATCAGCAAGCGCAGACTCGATTCATTTCTATACCGACGGGTCAAAACTGGACAACTGGGTTGGTGGAGGAGTTTGCTCAAATGATCTTGGTGTTTGTAAATTCTTTCACTTACCGGATCACTCAAGTGTTTTTCAAGCGGCTGTCAGCTCAGATCAATGGTGCTCTCGGATAATCGTATCCATATTTTTTCGGATAACTAGGCTGTATCACAAGCCCTGAAGTCTGTAACATTAAAATCTAAAACCGTATGATTTCAGCCGATGACTAAGTAGCTCGTTCTGAACCTAATATGGGTACCTTAACACCGTAATATACCGGTTAATGAGATGGCTTCCGAGCTTGCAAAGTAGTAGAATTTCCCTTTCACTTTCGCTGTCATGGAAGAGTTTGTGCATGACGCTCTCCACTTTTAAGCTCATTATACGAGAATTATTCGCTAAGGACGCTAATCTAAGATGGAGAAGTCTCAATGCATGTAATGGTAATGAGCCAAGGCATTATGGCCAAAATGGAACGGAAGAGGGTTACGTGACCTTATCGAGTTAAAAAGAAAGGAGATATCTACAGCTATAGGTCTTATTACGGGAGATATTCTATTGGACTCGCACGCAACGAGATTGTCCGTAGCATCTAACGAACACTTTGGAGGAGTAGGTTGAAGTCTCTGGGGCGGCAACCTTTGAAAGTCTTAGAGAGAGAGCGGGGGACATGGTACGACGAATGCTCATGGTTCAATTAGCGGGCGGGTTGTCATTAGGATCCTCAGTGGTATTACTATACGCCCGTTTGGAGTCAAGGTGAGCTGATGTCCGACAACCACCAACCAAGGGTGTCAACCTCATGGACCTAATTTCCATCTAAGAATTGCTGCTAAATCGTAACAAAATTGAACCACTTCTGAAGCGAATGGTGACTGGTGAGGAATGAAATGAATCACTTATAGCAAGGTCAAATGAAAACGATGTAAGTCGAAGGGAAGTGAGCATACACAAACGGTGTCCAAGCCTGGATTGATGCCCAGGAATGATTTGTTGTATGTTTGGTAGTAATCAATTATGAGGAAACTCGAAAATACTTCAATACACGAGTTCCAATGGGCAAGAATGAATCGAAACTTTAAGTGGTGTCCGGGCCAGGCCATGCCCAGAAGCCACGCCCACTAGTAAAAATACTCCTTTTAATTGGAATTTGCACATATGTTTGCAATAAAAACTGTCGCAACCATTTAAAAAAATTTGCAAATTATAATTAAGTGCTTTTTAATATTCATGAAAGTGATTATAGAAGACAAAATAGTAATTAATTTTATTGCTAAGGATACGCCCATACACTTTTGCAGGATGCACGAGCATGTGGAAGTGCTTCGAAAAACACAAAAAAAAAATCGGCAGAATTGTTTAAATATAAATAGAGCTGCAACAGAAAACGTTACACAAATTCCAAGTGAAATTTCGTTTTTCTAAAATGCTTTACTCGGAGGAAATCTACAACTGGAATTTAGTGTTCATGAGAAGCATTGGATATTTGGGTAACCGACGTCGTGCTTATTTTTTATTATCCTTACCGGTTTTAATATGTTTCGGCGCAATTTATGGCACTTACAAAATGTGGAGCGATTTTGATAAAGTCATCATAAATTTATTCAAAACTTCTGGCTTACTCACAGTAACTTTGCGATCATTTGTTATCATACAGAAGGAAAAGAAATTATATGACTTTTTCGATTACATAAGTCAGTTGTATCGCGAGCTGCAGGTGAGGCGTGACTTTCCAGAAAAAAATTTACTGTAAAAAAAAAATGAAAATAATAAGCCATGCAATTTTAGGCCGAAGGTGATGAAACTACGCTGAAGAGAATGCATGAGTTCGCACGAAAAACTAAACGATATACGAAGGGTTTATTCATCTTAATGATCGCGTGTACTTTTTATATATCCCTCATACAAGTAATGTCAACTTTTGGCATTGGTTTGAAAAGTGAGTAATGAAAATCATTCAACAATTTAGATGAAAAGAGTCAATTAAGTATATAAGGTTATTCATTTTGTGGTTTCAAAAATACTGTGCTCAAACTTAACTTTCAACATTAGTTTATTTTAGTTACAAACCAGAAATTTATGAAAATTGATCGCTTATAATCACACCACTCCTTAAAATTGTTAGAACCTACTAAAAAAGTATTGATTCCAACGTGGCCACGTTTCGCACTTTGGGCGGAGATTATGGTGCACATAATCATCCCACTCCTATTCCACATTGTTACAGATATTGTACGTCCTGTGCATCATCGTTTCGCTCATTGCTCCTCAAATATCGCAGCTTTTGGGTACCCGAATATGTCATTTCTCGATATTCTCAAGAGCTTTGGCTTTCTTATAGCACCAGCACCCCCAATACAATAAAGTCCAGCTCATACCATAACAAAAGCCAGTTGACCATTCACAACGTTGATTGGTTGCTGGAACAACAAGCAGTGGGTGGTGATTTTTTGAGTCAATTGGGGCATACATAAAAATTTTAGCATTTGGAGCTCCAAGAATCCTCAAATAATTGAAAAGAAACTAATTGTCTAGTGCGCTCTTTGGTACGGCGGTGTGTTACGGTGCGTTATGGTCGTATGACAACCGACTTTTTTGGCCTTTAATTAAGAAACACAACTTGGACAATATGTGGTTTCAACAGGATGGTGTCGCAAGCCACAAAAGGAGCTAATATAACTTTAGCGATATCAATTGGCCACCAAGATAGTGCGATTTGACGCCGTTGGACTTTATTGTGGGGCCACGCGAAAGGCCGTGTTCATGCGGATAAATCTTTAACTCTTGGGCACTTGAAAACCTACCTTCGTCCAATTATGTCGAATATACCGCACAATGTGTGCCAAAAGATCGTATCGCAGTTGCCAGCTCGATTGACGAGGCAGTCTTTTGATTGATGTAAGGTTTCACATATAAAGCCAAAGTTGAAACTTTATAATAAAAATGGAATTACATGGGAAAAATAAATTTTACAGACATTTTATTTGCGTTTATTTTCGAAACCGCAAAATGTATAACCCTGCACACATAAGTAATTTGCGTATTTTTTTTTATAGAATTCCTCATTGAAATGGAGCTACCTTTCATAAGTGTTAATGAGAATCCATATTGGGATATATTTTCTACACTGCAAGCCGTATGGTTGGCGCCCTCAATCCTTTTATCGTACATTTCCTATTTATGCATCATTTTCACCACAATCTCTTTTGGCATACTCTTGATGAAAGATCTGCAGTTTAAGTTGGGCAATATGAATGAAAAGAATGATTTGGAGGCTTATGAATATATTAAGAACTGCGTTAAACAGCATGTGATGATTATAAAGTAAGTGCGAATTGTTTTGATATTATTAAAATGCCGTCCGAAGTAGCAATCAATTAAATTCGAATTGCATTTCAAAGTGTGTTGAGGTGAACTGCTACATGATCTTCGTAACCTCTTAACATTAGCTTCAAATTCTTCTCCCTCTCTCTCTCCCCCTCTGACCATCTATATAAAAGATATGTACATGGTCCCATCGCTTTGTGGTCGGCAGAGATTTCAAGGTTCGGCAGCTATCTTTGTAATAGAAGGATTGCCATCGACTTCTTCGAAAGCACTGCTAACTCTTCTTAACTTTCTTTCTTTGAACAAGCGAGCTGCAACGCAATCAGCAACTCAACCTTGGAGGGTACGCTTAAATAATAGATATCTTTTGCAGAAGTTCGGATGCAGCACTCGACAATCTCTTTCGCATAAGAATGCCAAACAGGGACGAATCGGAAAAGACAACCCCTCCTGATAAGGAAACCATAGTCAAGCATAGGGTAAGCTCAGAACTCAACGAAAAGATGGGCTAGAGAATATATTATCCAATGTTGCATGAGACTACCAGCAGACTGTAGCCGAAGAGTGGCTGCTTAAGTCTACGGTAACAGGAGTATTAGTCACGATATATTTCGACAGTCAAGCTGTCATTAGATCCCTCAAGTGTAACAACACCACATCAAAAGTAGGTATTTAATGTAGAAGAAATATGAATTAACTCTTGCTGAAATGCAAAACAGCCGTAGTCAGTTGGGTTTGCCTTTGTGTATGCTAAAACTGACCTTCCTCGCGAAACCAAACGCTTCTTCTTCTTTTTTGGTGATGGCCCTTTAACCCCTCTTTTGCGCTGTTTGGCGCCAGTTGGAAATGCCAAGTGAGGCCAGGTCGCTCTCCACCTGATCCTTCTAAACGTAGTAGAGGTCTTCCTCTTTCTCTGGTTCCACCAGCGGGTACTGCATCGAATACTTTCAAAGCTGCAGTGGTTTTATTCATTTGGCATGGCCTAGCCAGCGTATCCACCGTCTTTTCATTCGCTGAAATCAGTCAGTACCATCGTATAACTCGTATAGATCATCGTTCAATCGTCTGCAGGTATTCGCTTTATGTCAATGCGCATAGGATCATAAATCGTTATGATGTTGATGCTGGTCCCTAGATAGGCGAATTTATCTACGATCTCGAAGTTATAACCGTCAACAGTGACATGGGAGCCAAGTCGCGAGCGCGATGACTATTTACTGGGCGACAGGAGATATTTCGTCTTATCCTCGTTTACTACCAGCCCCATTCGCTTCGCTTCTTTATCAAGTCTGGAGAAAGCAGAACTAAGAACAATATCATATCCGTGACTCAAGCTCCACGGGAAACCCTTCCTTGATTTCCTTGATTTCTTGATTCTATAAGACTGTTTCCGAAGGTGAAGATGCCTCACAATAGCATTACAATATCAAATTTTGTAGCTTATGTAAGTCACACATTGAAATTGAACTCTCTGACATTCTGAGCGCAAAATGCGCAAACGAAAAAATCACTGGATATTATCTACGTCTGATGGGCACCTGGTAAACTACCAATTATAATAGCTTTTTTATATTTTTTACTTTAATTATTACAAACTGAATTATTTAATTCATCTTTATTATTATTTTTTTCATTTATACATTTTTCCTTCATAGATATCACCGCCAAATGGAAGTTTTATTTTCGCTTGGCAGCTGCGCCGAAGTTTGCAACTTTTGCATAATTCCTTGCGTAATTATCGTTTATTCAACAATGGTGAGAAATATTTGTAGAAGTATCAAAAATACGCTGACAACTACAACCAATAAAATGAATTGAACAGTCTTTGTTTTACGTTACACGTATTTTGTTGACGTCACAGTAGAAGATGTCTTTCTAGTGACAATTCGTTGTTATTTAAATTAAACTTTCACACATACCATTGTAGGCAAGTTGAAAGTCATTTTCAAGCACTCTGTAGAATTGTTTATAAGCCCCACCATAATAACGAAAGAAAAATTCTAAAATGTGCTAGATTATTGCGCTTTTTTTTATTAGTTAGCGTGATCTTATCGAACAATATTTCATTTTGATTTTAAACGAATATTTTTGGATTAACAATAATATTTGAATATCTGCATTAATGAAGTCTCTTTTCAAAATGCAGGATTATGATTTGGCTTTCTTGATGACAGACATACAACTGGCCGTCATAGCAGTGTCTTCAACTTTTTTCAACTTTTGGCTGGCAAATAATTTTTGTGTTGAGGTAAGCTTTTTAAAAAATTGAAAACATTAAAAAAAGAATAAATCCAACAACTAATAATTAATTAAAATTTCCACTTTCAGAGTTTAAATATAGCATACGCAGCATATAACAGTAATTGGATTGACCGTAATAAGGAATTTCGTAAATATATTGTACTAATCATGACAATGAGTCAGAAACCATTACAGGTATGGACGTGAGCTTGATAGATATTCGGTTATACATTCATTGCTCATGTAATTAATCTATATAAATCATTTTTTCTTTTGTTTCAAGCTTACTGCTGCCGGCTTAAAACCAATAAATATGGAGTTCTTTCTGGCAATTCTGCGCGCGGCTTATTCATTATTTACAGTTTTGCAATAAACGGTGAAATTCTTAAGGAATTTAATTATTACAAAAATTAATACATACATATATTTAGACAAAATAATAAATATTTGGAAAAATATATATACATATAAATTGTTGCTTACAGATTTACATTTCTTGTTCTTATTTACCACATGAAACCTAATAAAATTTATTTCAAACCTTTTGAAAGCCAACACGCCTTAGGGTTTTCAAATTACTCTTAGAGTAAGTTCGTGCCCGATTTCAAGTACAAACTAAAATTGAAATTTTTTGAAGAAAGCGCTTTTATTAATTAATTATGTATTCGCCATCATGTTCGGCAATCCACTCCCAACGTTCAACCAATTTACGGATGCCTGATTCATAGAAATCACCCGGTTTCTCGTTGAAAAAGGTGTCAAGGTGGTTTTTGACGTCTTCCACATTTTTAAATTTTTTTCCTTCAAATTGTTCTGCAGCGTCCGAAACAAATGATAATCAGAAAATGCAATGTCGGGTGAATATGGGGGATGCGGCATGATTTCCCAATTCATCTACTTCAGTTAGGCCAGGGTCGGTTTTGCAACATGTGGTCTGGCGTTGTCATAATGGAAAAGAACTCCTTTACGATTGGCCAAAATCGGACGTTTTTCATCAATTGCTTTCTTCAATTCGACCAATTGCTGACAATACTTGTTGGCAGTGATCGTTTCTCCAGCTGGCAAGAGCTCAAAATAGATTACGCTTCGGATATCCCACCAAATGTGCCTGTTTCCATATTCTTTTGCGTTGAACATTGCTGTCCATTTTTCATCACCAGTTACGAGCCGATCCAAAAAAGGTTCGTTTTTGATCCGTCGAAGCAAAGAAATTGCTGTTGACATACGGTCCACTTTGTTTTTTTCACTCAACTGATGGGGCATCCATGTATCGAGCTTCAAAGTGTACCCAACCTTTTTCAAACTATGAAACGCAACTAAAGTCCTTAGAATATCGTCATCAAGCTCAGAAGGCCGATCACTGCGAGGTTGATCTTCGAGGTTAAAATCTCCAGAACGAAATTTCGCGAACCATTTCTTTACTGTGCGGGGTGCTGGAGCACGGTCCAAATGAACTTCGCGAATATCTTTAGTTGCAGCGCCTTTGGGGAATTCGTATAACATAATACGACGCATATGATCATTTTCGTTGTCCATCTTCCATGCGTCTTTTCACTAAGCAACCCAAATAAAAATGAAGTTATTTTAAGCTTAGATTTATCTTTCCTTTCTACCAAAAGCAAACCAAAAGTGCCAATACTGGCGAACATAATTGTGACATTTACCTTAAGTCACCACATGGTGAGTATGTCAGTGTAATGCAATTTTTCTTCTTTCCTCTTATTCGATTCATTTGTATTTTGTCTATTCTGTGGTTGTGTCTTCTATTCCGGTGCAAAGAAAAAATTTATAAATTTTAGTGTGTTGTATTGTAAACAAATAAACGTAAATGTTTAAACAATTTTCGTTTCAATGAGTGCAATAGAACTTTAGCAAAACGTGTGGCATAATGGATAATAAAAAGGATATTTACAATTTATGGGTGCAGTACACGACCAAGGCGAGTAGAAAATCTGTGTTAAAATGCCCTATAGAATCGAATTGGAATGTGTGAATTACATGCAAGTGTCACCTGTAGTTCTTCTACCCCGCCGTCGTGTCATCATATCAGCGTAATCCGCAAATTATTGATGGGCGTGTTTGTAGCATTAATCATCCATTGATTCCAATATTAGTGCGTGTTATCCAAAAAATGAAGTGCACACAGTTTCCATAGGCCTGCAAATCTTTATGGACTTTTGAAAAATGTGAAAATGAACATTAAAAAAATAAAATGAAATTCTATAACTGTATTTTTGAAATATGAAACTGAACATAAATACATAAACACGGTTGTTTAAACAAATAATTTATTTTTGTTAAGCTCAATTTTCTTTATGTATCTATTAGTGTGCATTTGTTTTCTTTTATTTTTCTGAGAGATTATGTAACTCTGCGGATTTTAGATAAACATAATTTACATACTGATAACAACCAACAAGCCACCCTACCCTGACGCCCACTTTGCTGAAAGAAATACGGCTCAATTGCATTACAAAGCGGCGCCCGACACAGCCACCCACAAAATAAATAAACGCTTGCTGCTGCTCTCTGCGTTATTATAGGCATCCGCTCATTTAACGCCAACACATATACTCTGAATAATCAATTCTCTCTTCTCTTGTTTTTTGTTTTTTTTTTCCTTTCCGGTTGTTATTGTTGCTGATTGTTGGCGCAAATGAAAACAGAATGATGAATCTTATTTTCGTGAATTTATTGAACGCTTTGTCAACATCTGGAAAAGTCAATTGCCGGTAGATTTTAATCAGCAGGATTTGCCACTATGGCATGAGGTGCGTCCAGACAATGGTCCACATTTGGGCCGTTTGCCGGATGAATTGTTACCAGCAATTGGTAAATTCATCATAATCGCGCGGGATGCAAGCGAAAATGTGCGTATAAACATTTAATACATACATAAATTGATAAGAATTATTTATCATTTATTTATTTATTATCTTTCAGGGTTCCCTCGACGATGAGCAGATACGACAAATTGCAGTGCTGGTTGATTGCTTGGTGATAATATGTCGACATTTCGATAATATTTTGGCGATTATCAAATATGAGTATAAATCTAATTTAATCGCTATATTGACAAACACATTCAAAGAGGTAAACAAAATCAAAAATGTAAAGAATTCAGACTTAAAACTAAAATTTTGGCTTCACTGCGGGGGATTCCCTTGTACAATATTTTGTTGCGATTACCTTCTACTGCAACATATATATATTACTTCTAAGTAGAATTCCATCTACTATTAAGCTTTTTAAAAAGTCTATAAAATTTGTGAAATTGTAAACCCATATAAACACTTACATATCTCTTTGCTGATAAACTTGCTAATAACAAGTTGAATTAGACCGGAAATTTATAGCCCTAAAAGATAAGCAAAAACCTGTAATTCTTTTATAGAAAAAAACGCGAAAATTATGATAAGGGATTAATAAAAAGTAAATACGACGTAAATTAAGTATTAATTATCAATTTAGTATTAATTATCAAATTAAATTTCTCAAAATTAATAGTGCCGTATATAGAGGTTTTAGTATGGAAAAATAACTAAAATATAAAAATATGTCACATGCCTATCTTTCAGCTTATTGCAAGCTACTTTTTTGTGTGCGATTTTTTTTTAATATTTATTAAACAATTTATTAATTCATAAAATTAATTTCCCTTCCACAGTGCATGAGCCGCCAACAAGTCTCCAAGCAAGTAGTTCATCTCTTTCGCAGTTTTTCACAATTTCTTGAAGTTATGTATGATCCATATTTAACCTGGCGTAGCTTTATACGCGGCGTGTATGCAGATTTTCATAAAATACCCTATAAACCGCATACGGTGCATGTGGAAATTGTACCATTTATTTATGGTAAGTAAAAACTAAATATATTGAAATTTGAGAAGAATATTTTGAAAATAATATTATATTATCTTGCAGATTGTTTCCAGCGTGAGGAAATCACAAAATTTCCTTCAATTGGTGAATGTTTGGTGAATACTTTGGGCGCTGTTATTTGCGGATCACAGGTAGTATGGAATGTTGTTGTGTATATTTTGTCTAATTTGTGCGAATGTATATATTGTTTGAAAGTGTGTTTTATTTTTGTTTGAGAAAGTGTATTTTAATTCAAAAGAATATAAGACTTTTCATTTAGTAAGTTTTTTTTAATGTGCACAAAGTTGAAGTTTTGACGCTAAAAAAAATTGTTTATTCGTGCAAGCAATTAGTTAATATATAATATGTTATACACTTTTCAAATACAGTTTTGTAAATTACATATAATATATACATGTATTTATGTATATTTCTTTCAACGTCTTTATTTTCATATCTCCAACTTGTATTTTTTCATTTTCTTCTTTTCTTTACCTAACATTACTCATCATTTTATTGTATATGTCACATTTCTTTTATTTAATTTTATATAATTAATTAATTATAATGTGCTTTTGTTGCAACTTAACAAAACTTGAATTTCAAAAAAAATCATTTGTACTCGTTACACATATAAAACGAAAGCAAATTCTGTACATAAACACTTGCAGAAATCGCTAACATCTTTGGCAACTAAAGGTACAGCAAATCTTGGTGAAGGGCAAGAAATCTGTGATAATTTGGTGAGTGGTTAATGAAGAATGCAATATATGCTATTTGTGTAATATGTATGTATATATGTATTTGTCGTTAGCTTTTTTTTGACATTTATTGCTTTGTGGTGCTAGGAAATTTTTAGTTTGGTGTTTTGTGGTATAAAAAAGTAGTAATATATGTTTTTAGATTTTAAAAAACTTTAAGTGCTTAGAGAGCAAAAGCATGAAACTTTTGATTAAAAAAAAAAACAATAATAGAAAGAAAGATTTGTGATTTTAATACAAATTAATTAAGTGAAATTTTTTAAACATCACTTTGCTCTCAAACTTAAGCTTTTAATCTGTTCATTATAGTTTCTGTTTAAATATTTTTTTAATTTTTATTTATAAAGTTTATTTTTTCATTTTAACAAATTTCTATAATCGATTTTATCGAAAATTATCTCAATATAAATTTTTGTATGCCAAATACTAAATATTACCAATCGATCCACCATAGCGTAATGGAATGCGCGCCATTTGCCCCGCAACCGTTTCAGTCATTATGAAAATTATTTCTCAATGGGAAACCGCCAATGAGCTGCGTACTGTAGCGCTAAAATGTTGTGCTCTTATGATTGTTGTTTTACAAAAGTCTAGTCCTGAAGAAGTGAGTATTACAACGTAAACACAAAGAAATATTCCAAAAAAATCTAATTTATTTTCTACTTTCAGCGCCAAATAGATTTAGTTACACTAATTCAACTCTACTGTGATGCGCTCCATACACTGCTCACGACCGATCATTTTATCAGCGTCAATAGTGTAACATTTGAAATCGCAAGTGATGATGAGGCAAACGATACGTTTGTTGATGTGAATGCGCTTACCGCCACAGTGGAGAATGTCTGCCTTTTTCTTACTGATGGCGTGAATACGCACACCATATGTGAAGCTATACAAGAGACTGCGCTTGTTGATGCGCTAATAAGCATTCCAAAGCAGATAAAGGTGTGTAGCAGTATTATTTGTTGATAATAGTAACAAGTAGTAATTAATTTCTAACTCAATACAGGGCTGGAATATGAACTATGCGCCAGTGCTTTGTGCTACAACAAAATCTTTGGCTGTAATTACACGCAATTCGCCTAGTATTGCCGAGCATTTACGTGTATATGATAAAATAGAGAAATTTTTCAAAAGTTTAAAAACGTTAGCGATGCCCAACGATACCCTCTTGGACGCCTGTTTCAATATGGCTTACAATGAACAAACACATTCGCTTGTACTACCCGAAGTGGTGATCAAATTGATTGAATGGCTGCCGGAAATGAATGAACGTGAACAAATTTATTTAAGCAATGTTATACTGCGTGGCTGCACCACTAATTATGCAACGTAAATATAACTTTTTATAACTCTATACACATTTTAATACCTCTCTCTAATACACAGAAAATCCGTTGCCTGCGATAATCGCACAATCAAAGCTGTTTGTGAGTGTTTGCATCAATATGAAAAACTCGCCGAGAGTTGCATACAAAATTTCATCAAACTGATTGAAGAACTGAGCAAAGTTAGCATTATACCCATTGAATTAAAACGCATTTTTAGTTTATTACGTGAGGAGAGTGGCTTTCCACAGTCCAAACAGCTCCTGCAAACCCTAGTCGTCTGCTCATTGCAAAGTCTCAGCAATAGCAATATTTGTGCACAGTTTTTCACAATCAGTGCGCCGCGCGAGGGCATCACGGTGCCTGATATTAAGAATTGGTCAATGTCTGGCTCGTATGGTTTTATTTTTCACATTCTCGTAAGATTGCAAGAATCTACAGACGTTTTTAGTAAGAAAGGTGGAAAACTTGCCGAAGAGGAGACGAAGAAAGAGAGTGAACGTCCGAATTGTCGTCGCATGTTGCTCAAGTGAGTGTTTGCTATTCAATTTTATCTATAATAAAAATAGCGTATTTTATTAAAAAAAAAATTATACATTTTATTTACAGTTTACGCACAGCTAGTCAAACAGGCTTTGAAGTCTTCATACAGAATAGTGGCAATTTGGTTGTGGCCGCGTTAACGCGTCGTGAATATCTCACTTCAGTTGTGCATACGAAAACCTTACTTGATGCTCAATGGCATTATGTTACCGTTGCTATTACGCCACCTAAGCGTCCCTTTTCCTATAGTCAAATAAATGTTTATATCGATTTCATGCAAAAATTGAGCGCTACGCTTAAAGTACAAGCTGTAAATGAGGTGAGTTTTTATGGATAATAATTTTAGCCTTTATATGGTTGTTTTCTTTTCTTTTTTTTAACTTTTTCATTTATATTTTAGCCTTTCAACTTTTGCTCAATTGGCTCGTCAGCATTACCATTGCGCAGCCATCAGGCCGATCATCATCCATCCAGTGCTGCTGGTTCGCCTTTACCACGTTCATCTTCACAAGAGAGTGGAAGTTCCTCTTATAAAGGCGTGTTGCCCAGCTTACTCGAGCGTACATTGTCTACTAATGTAAGTTAAAAAAGGGTTAAAACAGTTGAACAACCCTAGCCGAAACATGCCTTGCCCGAAAACCGTTCCAGTTCCAAGTTTTCGACATTCTGTTTTAGTCTAAATAATTTACCGCTTTTTCAACCATATCCAGTCAAAATCAGAAAAATCTCACCGAAAACACTTTAAAAGCTATTAAGCATTGAGGAATCCTGTCGTTCCAAGAATATGAAAACAACTTTACTTACGGATTATCAATTCTTCCCGTCTATTATATCTTCCTTTGAATTTTCTACCATCGATTTAAGTATCGAGTTAACATTTAGGAGTTTAGACACTTTTGCCATAACTACTTTATGTGTTTAAATATTCTAATTTTTATTTTAATTATTCCTACAGGTTTCCAATTACTTCACATTACCTTTACGCACGCAAGCTTCATTCGATCCAAATGTGAAAAATTTTCCCATCGGCATGCAAGACACTGTGTTTGGCGAGCAAACTTGTCTGCGTGGTCAAGTGGGCGCTGTCCTGTTGGCAGAGCCCACGACAAGTATTAAAACCATATTCGATGCGGGCCTACATTTCCCCTCGATATTCTCGCAAGACAATGATTTGCTCGAGCTTACATCGCGTTTTGTATTCTGCTATGCACCTGGTGGTTATTGGAGCGAAAGTTGTCAAGATCTTATACCGGGTGGACGTTTTCCATCGCTGGTGCATGCACATCATTGCTCCATAGTGAAAATACAGGATACTATAAATAGTATTGGCGGCGTACAGGCTATTTTACCCATCTTGCATCGGCTCACCAAGCAACAAGATGACTTTTCGCTGTCCAGCGCGGATGGTAATGATTCGTTGGGTAGCGGCGAACACTTGCGTACGCCAACCGCCGAGGAGTTCTCCGATTGGGAAATGCTTTCTTCGAATTCGTACACAGGTATTCGTTTTTATTTTTCCCAATTTGTTTTGCTAATCAGAAACTTTCTGTTTTTTTTTCGTTTAGAATGGAAGATGATACAATTTCCTGTCGCAAGCTTCATTTGTTTCTTGCGTTACCTCACACATGGCCATGAAAATAATCAGGAGAATATGTTGAATAGTGAATGCCTGCCTATGGTTGGTGCTATGCTGCAGAAGTGCGCACCTAGCATGTTCGATGTGAACGCCCTGATGGCTACGCATCTTTTCATAGAATCGCTACAGGGTCAAAAGTCGGAAAGCGGTAATGCTCATGGTAACAGCACACTTTTGGAAGTGCTGTACACCGAAATCGCATTCAACTTTCACATTTGGGCGCGTATGAATTTTCAAATAACACTAGGCCATGTGCAGTACTTAAGTGCTATGATTAAGAATGATCGCAAGTATTATCGTAAGAAATTTGGCATACAATTCTTTTTGGATGTCGTGCGCGAGCACTATTGTGCACCCGATAGCATAACGCCCGACGATGCAAAGACCATACGCGCTACGCTCTATGCTATTGTGCGTTTTTATTTACAGAAGGATGTGAATATAAAGGAGATATTTACAATGATTGCATTTTTGGCATCGGTGCGGCAGGAAAATGTGCTTATTGAATTTTTAGAAATGTTAACATTCCATGTAAAGGGCAAAAATTGTAAAGATCAAATGATTTTGTTGTTGCATGAGCCACAAACAGCAAATTTGCTTTACAATTATTTCGTGGACAAGAGCTATAGCACAGAAGTGCAAGAGGCGGCCATAAGGGTGAGTCGTTTAACTGCATAAAATAATAAAAAAAATACTCTTTCTGTATTCATATCTGTTTCCGTTTTATGCTCAACACAGTTCATTAACTCATTGCTCAGCACCTCGCGAGTGAATCAAAAATACAAACAAATATTACGCCTGCACGATAACGCCAGCGATAGCTCACTCTTTCCCGGTTTCTTCTCCTACACCATACCAATGACGCTCAGCTCTACCATACTCTTCCATCTGGTCGATGAAATGTTAAGCAGCGAGGCTGATTATGCTGGTATTATTTTCCTGGTGCATCACATAAGCTCTTGTGAGCTGCCTGTGAAATTGGAAATAGCTAAACGACTACTACAAACCACCTTTGTCAAGCACAATTCACCACAGGCCATTGCTAAGCAATCGGGTTGGCAGGAATCTATCGCACGCTTACTAATACACAAACCAATAACGAACGTGAAGCCGGATGAGGAGAAGCGCAAGAGTTTTGGCATTAGTTTGGATGTACTTTTGGAGGATAATAATGATTTTACTAATCAGTCGGATTTAATTAGTTTTTGTGAGCAACAAGTGGAGCTAGATCAATTGGCGAAACAACATGGTGATGAGCACACAGATGGCGGTTTGATATTGAATGAGATACAAGCGAGCGTCACGGAGGCGGCCAATGTTATAGAGAGTGAAATTAAAGGTAAATAAAATAATACGATAAATTATAAACGCTGAAGCGATTTTCGGTCGAGCTCTACCCACAATTTGTGGTGTCCGACTTGATGTGTTGAATTTGAATATATTTTATAGGGGCTCTAACCCTTAATGGTAGTACGCAGTGCTACCCACTCGACTCTTAAGGGCTTATACCTTGTATAAACGAAAGCACTTCAAATTTATGTGAAAATTTATTCACTTTTAGCGTTGAATTTGAATTAATTTTATAAATAATATCCTTGAAAACAATATAGCATATTTCGCAATAATGTTGCTTAAAATATTTAATGTACTCTCTCCATTATAGAATTAGCTGAATCTGTTTCTGGTGCTGTAGTGGAAAATGTGTCATCGGTTTTCTCTGTTTTACGCCAAACAACACACGATATACAAGACACTTTTGAGTCACTGACGTTAGGCGCCTCCACTGAGGGTGAAACGACGGTAAAATACTTTAAAAAAAAACTTTATGTTTTACAAATATTGAATTTCTACTTTATACGAGTACAGAGTCTTTCGCGCCAGCGTACGGAGTCTGTAAGCTCAGATAGCTCAACACAATCGCCAAAACGGACGATCAAAAAAGCGGATTCTGAAGTAAGTCGCACTTCTACACTTTTATTAAAACATGTTATCTATTAATAAGTTCTCTTCTCTATTTTAGCATAGAACCACAGGCTTCGAATTTCCACCCGATGCCGATGTGGATAGTGAAGAACAACTTGTCTATCTAGTTTCAAATATATTATTCACCGTCTTCTGGCGTGGCGTTGGTAATGATCATCCACAATGCTGGAAGGAACGTGGACAAGTGCTCGGCTGTATTAACTTGCTTGCACTCAATAATGATCTAGTCACATCCCATCTCTCCCTGCGTTTGCGCATATTGGAAATGGCTGTACAGGCATCACTATTCGATCTGTCAGAGAATGGCAATCAAACGTTGATAAATCAAGAGGTTTGTGAAATTAATTTATATAACATAAATATATAAAATATAAAATAAAAAATAAACTATAAACAATATACTCCAAAATATATAAAAAAAAAACTAAATATAGCAGTTAAAAAATGTAAGAAATAAAAAAAAAAAATTTTTTAAATATTAAAAAATAAAATTCAAATATAACAAATTCTCCAAATAAATATAAATAAAAAAAATTAAAAAAAAAATAAATATAAAAAATATAAAAAGTAAATGTAGAAAATATAATAAATAAAAAATAGGTATACAAAAATATATATAAAAAAATATATGTAAAAAATATATATATAAAATATATGTAAAAAATATATATAAAAAAAATATATAAAAAAATATATAAAAAATATATATAAAAAAAAATAAATATAAAAAAATAAATAAATATAAAAAAATATGAATAAAAAATAGGTATACAAAAATATATATAAAAAAATATATGTAAAAAATATATATATAAAATATATGTAAAAAATATTTACAAAAAAAAATATATAAAAAATATATAAAAAATATATATAAAAAAAATATATAAAAAAATATATAAAAAATAAATATAAAAAAATAAATATAAAAAAATCAATAAATATAAGAAATAAAAAAATAAATAAATATAAAAAAATTTAAATATAATTTTTTTCTTTTACATTCAGAACGCTTCACAAATTTTACGCATGGTCTATGACCTTGTCGTGCTCGGTTCGAATGAGGATGACACAAAGAAATGTTCAACGAAGTTGCTGGATGGTGTTTTGGCGCTCTTAGATGCCTTGATGATCTTCCAACAGGGCTCTTCAGATGATTGGTCGGATATGATACGCTTATGCTTGGGTCTGCTCTTGAAATGTTCATATCACCCTAATCCGGGTGTGGTTGCTATGGCAACGGCGAAGCTGCATGCTATTTTACAGAGTCGCAACACAGAGGATCCCAGTGAATTGGCGTATTTGTTATTTAGTATTAATCGCGCGTTGGATAATGCAATTGAAGGTTCGCAATTAAAGTCTTTAAACTTCATTTAAATTTTTTTGTATTGAAATCTTTCTTTCCAGTTGGTAATCCCGAGGAATATTCTTTTCTGATGCCAGTTATGAAGGCTTTGCTTGAGAAATGCCGTAAAGTCTTTAATTTGGATACAAACTTACCTGATTTGCCACCTACCTCATCGGGTCCAGTATTTTTCAATGATTTTCAAATGTATAGCACAAGCAAAAAGTGGCGTCATTTTATCGAACGCATTGTGAGTATTCAAAGGCAGCAATTTTTCTTATAGATAATTATATATATATACATATATATATATATATATATTTATTAAAACAGTAATCATAAGGTGTGTCGTAATGTACATACATTTTTGTGTAAATAACTCTCTAATTGAGGTGAGTGAATTAGTTTTTTTTTAATTTAAAATAATAAAGGCTCGCTAAAACAATTTCATAATTCGGGAACGCCATTTCTTATACTTGAAACCGGAGAAAATTACTTAATTATGAAAAATTTCGTCTCATAATAAAATTTTATCCATGAGATATCCATTATTATAATGAAGAAGAGTATATTTAAGAACTGAAATCGAGTATTATACATACATACTTACATTGCAGATAAATAATTTATAAATTTTATACAGTTTTAAAATTCAAATCTACTCAAAATCCTACATTCTTATTTTTAATACCATTTCTCCCCTATGCGATCAGTACAGTTTGTGATTTTTCGGCAAATTGCGCACGAATTCGCTCAAATGCCTCGCTAAATCGTCATTATGTGGACTTTTGAAATATGTCGTTTCGAAAACACTCTTCGTTGTTCGTTGCGGCACTGCAGACTCCTCTCTCGTAGACGCATTTTGCCTCGTAACGGTTGGCGCCCGTGTTGGCTGGCGGTAATTGTTCGGACGCGTTCGATATAAGTTATGATCGTTTACATTCGGCAATGACGAAGTGCCTCCATAATAGCTATACGAGTGAGACTTATTGACCGAGACCACAGCCACATTCTCACTACCACTATGCAACGGTGTTGTTTGTCGCGTGTTCCCTACACCGTTCGTCGGCGTAAATGTCGATACATGTTGCTGTTGTAGCTGTCGTTGACGCACGCCGTTAGGCCGACGATCTCTTGGACGTACCGCAGCTGGCGCCGGTGCGGCAACTGGTGTTTGACTATTCGCTTTCGCTTTCGGTGCTGGGGCAGCAGGTAGTGCAGTTGGTGTGCTTGCCGAGCGTATGCGTATGGGGTTCCAGGCGGTGCTCACGTAACTGGGTTCATTTGTATCTGGCGTGATGGTTGGTAGAAAGTAGTTTGGCTCGTCACTGGGTTGTGCCGCCACGTGATTAGACTCATTAACTTCAGCGTCAGGTTTGAGCGCCAATTGATTCTTATGACGTTGGCTCGCTTCGAAGGCCTCTTCCAATTCGGGTGTATCCAGTATGTGTTTCGTGTTAACAGCTGGTGTGCCGTTACGCAGGCGTTTCCGTATGGTTTTCGCACGCAGACCTTTTGTAGTTCTCACCGAAGTTGGCGCGTCGTCATTGGCCGATGTGGTATGTGTGGCTGGGGCATGGACGGTTGGTACTGGTGAGGATGCTGATTGTGAGTGGCTGTCCATTTGTTGGTTTTCAAATGTGTGGGGCGGATATGTTTCATGTTCCTCATGGCTGGATGCCTCGAACGGTATGGGATCGTATATGGGCACTTCATAACTGGATTTTGGGTAATTATAAGCAGGCGGCATATATTTCGAGTTTATGGGCAAATTTTTAGAGGGTGATATGTAGTCGGGTTGTGGGTACTCCGAATGGGAAGATGGGCTGGCATAGTTGGAATCAGGAGGATCATACGTTGACGGTGGTTGAGGTGGTGGCTCTGGCGCACTATACAAAGGCGGTGAATGCGGTTCGGGAACTTCAAAATCGTCCGCTGGCGGCTGTATTGGTGGCTCGTGCGATTCAAACGAAGTAGGCGCATGCGTTTCAGGAAAGGGGAAAGATGTGGGCGCATGCGACTCCGTTGGTTGAAAAGATGGCGGTGCATGGGTTTCAGTATCGTCATAAGCTGAAATTTCATGTGATCCCGGCACTTCAAAGGGGGGCGGTGCATGGAGATCTGGTGGAACTTGATATGAAGGTGGCGCATGCGCGTCAGGTGGACGGTAGGAAGGACGTGGTGGCGGTGCAGGGGGACGATGTGGACGTTTTGGAGGTGCTTGAGGTGAATGGTAGGTTGTTGGTGGTTGCGGTGGTGCCTCCGGCATGTGGTAAGATGGTGTTGGCGGCGCAGGAGGCTCAGCAAAATTTCCAGGCACCGGATGATAGTTGTCTGCCGATGCAGGCTTATGATTGGCTGGCGATGGCGGCAAAGTGATCTCATAAGAGGGTGAATATGTGATTTCAACATTTGTTTTCGACGGCGGCTCCGCAAAGCTATGATGACCTGAACTTTTAATCGCATTATAGCCAGCATTTGGTAGTTTCTTATCATACATGGAGTATGTTTCCACTGGTGTTGGCTTGGGCGCATTGTAACTGGACTGTTTGGCTGGCGGTGTATAAAGTAACGGTATATTTGTATCTGGTACACCATACTTCGTAGCCGGTATGTGCACATTCGGGTGCCCACTCGTATCCAACGTACTATATTCGTAAAACTTATTGCCTTGTGACGGAGAAGGACGCTCATAACTACTCATCGGGTGCATATCGTAGACATTATCGGGTGGCGTAAAGCTGTGGGAATCTTCATAGCCCGAATCACCACTATCGCTGCTTGATATTTTATAAACGCTGCCATGCATCTTTGATTCGTCATATAAACTAGTCGGCAAATGTGGTTTTCTTATTTCGGTCTTCGTCGATGTATACGAGTATGTGGGCACCTCTTTCTCGTCATCGTAAGTGCTATATTCGATATGCTCTATTTTTGGATGCTCCTCGAATGTATGCTCGGTGTTACTGTAGAAATCCAAATCCATCGTTTGATCCTCATAATGATTACTCTTCAGTGGGGGGTGACCATCATATTCGGCGGAGTTCAAATGTTTTGTCAAATCCAATTCATCGATCGGTGAATATTTTGGTGGCACCGAAAAGTCTGGCAAGTATTGTTTTGTCGGCTTGTAGTAGGAAATCGGTGGCGCAGCGCTATAATTTGGTGGACCATATTTGTATTTGGGCCACTTCTGACGTCTGCGTGACTTTATGCCACGCTTCGCTGGGCGCACCACATGTCGCACAATCGTGTAGGGATGTTGGCGACGTTGGCGTACCAATTTAGCTGCCAATGTGGGTAAGGGTTCTGATAGGTTGGTTGATGTTGACGGCGTTGGTGCTGTTGTCTCCAAGGTATTTGCGTTGACTTCGGTTATTGTTGTTGGTGGTAGTGTAGTGACTGGCGTTACAGTTGTTGTGTCATACTCCGGCTGGGGGTTTGCTGGGTTCACAGTGCTGACATCGAATAGCAAGAGTATCGCCACAAAAAACTGAGGAAGAAGGCGAAAGGAAATTGTAAATTTATTTTCTTTGGCAATGTTGTACATACATACGTATATGTACTTGTATAGTAAAAGGTAAAGATTTTAATGTATAAAACTTTATAAAAATAATAATAACAAAAATAAAATATAATAAAAAAATATTAATACAAATTATAGGAATAAATGATAATAAAAAATTGTTATAGTAAATAATATTAATAAAAACTACAAAATTTAAACAAAATAATAGCAAAAAAAATTAAATAATAATAAAAACAATTATAAAAATAAATTAATAATTGTAATTATAAATAAAAGATATAAAAATAAAAATAAGAATAAAAATAATAAATAGTAAAAAAAATCAAAATTACACATAAAAAAAAATTAAAACAAAAAAATAAAAAATTTATATTAATAAATAATTCTAATAAACCTAATAAAATTATTATATAATAATAATAAAAGAAAAAGTAATAATAATAAATGGTAATACTAATAAAATTAAAAAAAGAAGCTATGATAACAGTGACAATAACAATAAAAAGTGATAAAAATTTAATAGTAATACATTAAAAAATTAATATAAAAATTAATATTAAAACAAAATATTGAAAAAAATCTGTAAAAATTAATAATAAAAAATAATTTAATAATAAATAATTTATAATTTAAAAGAATTTAATAATAAATAATAATAAAAAATTAATAATAATAAAAAAAGTTGATAATATTTAGATAATAATAATAGTAGATAATAATAATAATAGATACCAATTATAATAATTGATAATTATAATAATATATAATAGTAATAAACTTAAAAAAAATAATAATATTAATGTTGAAATGCTTTCGAAACAAACAATAATTTTCCTATAAAATTCTGTCTGAAAATCTCGTGAAAATATTTTTAACCTGAAAACCTTGAAACAAAGGCAATCACACGCTGCTGATTTTTGTGTGAATTTCAAGGTTAAATAATATAATTTAATCTTGGCTGAGTCTCAGCATCTGACAGACAGAAGTTAAATACATGCCAAACACACTCAGGAGTTATGCAGTTTTTCCTTTGTTGTTATTATTCAATAAATGTGTCTTTTTCATAAGATTGCACGCACGCGCTTCATAGTTATTCATAATTAAATTTAACGTGTTATTCTCGTGCACAACGAAATGAAACGCAGTGACAGGCAGGTGTCATAACAACGCAAGAAATGAAAATAATATTTTTACGACACATTTGTGCATACATAATGCATCAATGTGTGTGTGCAGTTATTATTTTCAATTTTTTTTTATTTAATCCACTTCTCGTTTTTAGTTATTGTTATTTCTTTATATTACTCTTGTGATATACAATGACTATAAGCCAAGTTAACCGTAATTTTCTATAGAACAATTTGCCGGTTACGGAAAATTCAAATGGTCTGAGGCTGGTCTGATCGATTGAGATATGATTACCTGTAATAACAGATTTCACCAGTCCAAAGACTTAAAACCAAATCTGTCTTGTAGTTAAAAATCGAACAAATGTATCTAGCGTTCGTGATGAACGTAATCTCCGGGATTCCAGCATCAACCAATATACTGCCGCTCATCTATGTTCACTCAAAAACGAGGGCCAGCAAAAACACAGCAGATCTGAAGTTGAAAAACTATAATCACAGCAAACAGTCGCCGAAACAGACTTCAGCTCTGCGGCCACTCAGCAACAGCGGCAAAGGTGGGATGTTACTTTGAGCTTTCTACTTAGACACCACTTTCGCAATTATAGCCGAGTCAACATCAGTGTGCCATTCATTTCTTTTATTTCGCTGTTTGGCGCCAATTGGAAATACCAAGTACAGCCAGGACCTTGTCTACCTGGTCTTTCCTCTTCTCCTGCTTCCACCGGCGGATACTGCATGGCTGAACTATGTGGTATTCGCCATAGAAAATGCCCAAAGAACCATAGATCGGTTGCGAAACTGTTAACATCGAATCATCAGATGGTTCTGCACCATATAACAGGAGTTATTTGTAGAACGACGAACAACGAGGAAGGATTTTGCTTTTCAGTTCGCTACTTATATGTAAGTAGCAGCTGCTGGTAGTGCTGATACTGTTTTGATGTTAATTCTGGTTCCAAGATGGAGCCGAAGCGCAAACTTGGTAAATGTTTGCTTAATGACAGGAGATAGAACTCACGACGCGGTAGTTTAGAACAAAGATGTCATATTGTTTTCTCCAGGAATATATTAAAGACGTCACACGGTAAGGAATCGCCTTGTCTAAACTGCTGGTGCTGCTGAACGACAGTTTAAGGGGATACCAAATTAAGACATAGCTTCGTTGTGGCAGTGCCAATCCTTTTCTCACAATACGCGAGATAGGACCTAATATGCGATATTGAGGAGGCTTATCACTAATTGAATAGATAACTTCTCTGCCTCCTAGAATAGTTGAGTTTTAACAATTAAAAAAGAACTGTTGAGTGGAGGTGTACGAGGTGTGACAATTAAGTTATGAGACTGATTATATTGCCGCGATTGTGGTAATGCTGTGATTTTGAAATTCCCTTTCCCTTCTCCCGGCATCCTTCTTCACTCCACTGATATATTTGCCATGGCTCTAGCTTTCACCGGCACAAACCGTAAATCAATTCTACTATCGCCAAGTACGTAGATTGCGAAAACGAGTCGACAGGGTGCGCCCAGACATCGCTCGTAACTGGAACCTTCATAACGACAGCGCGCCGTGCCATACCACCCTCAGCGTGTCCCAGTATTTGGCCTCTCTGTTGTAACAACCGCCTTATTCGCCCGATGTGCCACCCTGTGAATTTTTTTCGTTTCCTAGAACGAAATCGGTGGTCAAAGGAACCCATTTTGAGTCGATTGAGGACATCTAGGCGGCTGAACCTCCACCTAGGCACATCAGAAAGTAAGTACTAGATTTAACGGACACAATCCAGCAACATGTGCAACAACCGCTGGACAGGACGGCGTACCGACAAGCACTGAACGCCATTCACCAGGAGTCAGTCAACACCTTCAAAGACTCTCTTTCAGTGAATGACGTGCTCGGAGAAAAATCACCACCAATCGAGCTGCCCCGAGAGACCCGCGTGACCTTGGCACAACTCAGGGCTGGATACTGTAGCAGGTTAAACTTCTACTTATCCAAACTAGACCCCAGCATACCCAACGTATGCCCTCTATGTGGAGAGTCTCCGCACGACACTAACCACTTCTTCACATGCCGTCTCAAACCAACTCATGTAGCCCCCTCTCCCTTTGGTCCAACCCCGTCGAAACATCTTCCGTTAGATGACCTCGGCGACTTAGATTAATCAAACCTGTGTCCAAGCGGGGTTATCGAACCGCTACAACAACAACAACGGGGTACTAGCAGACATCCCATTCGAAGCGTTCCATTTCTGGATACGAGGCATGGAAAACGCGCTGGAATCGTTGTATAGCTGCCCAAGGAGACTACTTTCAGGGGAATGGCAGAGTTATAGAAAAATTTTGAAACATATGGTTTTTATGGAATCAGTCTCACAACTTAATTGTCACAACTCGTAGTTCTTCAGGCGGGTATTGAAAATTTCTTTCCTTTCGATGAAACCCTCAAGCAGAAGACCCTTTCTAAGTGTTGGAATTTTTAATGGCGTATTTTGATGTGGAATTTATTTTTAAATTGCCCTTAGACGCTCCAAACTCGATCCACATCGCCTGCGCACCCTTTATGTATTAAACAAAATCTATTTTCAATCGTGCACATTGAATTTGATTGTGATCTATAGATAATCCGCATTTGCCCAGCTGTGTGTCGACGACTTTTCGTCCATATGTGGAAAACACGTCCAACATCTGTGAATGCGTGATTGTTGACGATGTCAGGTTATGTGTGTACATACATATTATGAACATACAAATATATAAATACGTAACATAATACAATAAGAAATAAATAAAAGTATAAATGGAAAAATGGAAAAATATATACGAATCGACTAGTCCTGACGGGATAGCTCGTGTCTGTGTTGTTGTTTTCTAATGCAATTAAACCGGTTAAAGTGTGTATGTGTGTACAATTTATTCATAACAAGTACGAGTGAACACCCGTCACCAAAAAAAAAAAAAAAAAAAAAAGAACTCGTAGGCGGTGATATAAAGTACACAACTCGACTTGTCGACTCACACGCACACAAAAAAAAAAAAAAAAAAAAAAAACACACACACACACACACAGCGCCCACCGGTTATTGCGTGAACTATTGAGTCTTTTTGTTTGTTTAGTACGCACATTGCCATAATTCAGAATCACAATCGTTCAATGACTTTAACTTGTTGTTGTTTTATTTTTGCTTTATTTCGCGTCTGAATTTTGTACTTCTCTATGCTTACGTTTCACTCTTCCGTTCTGTTGAGCCCTATTTTATAGCCACACCATTAAATGTTTAATTCCCACGCTTTTATGGCTATTTTGTCGCTGCGCATGCGCACAATTTTGGTCAACGTTTTTCCTACATTTTTGGCACTTTCACTTTTTGGCGACGCAATCACCACTGCAACCGTATTGGCTTACATATTGTATTTACATACAATATTGAAAATCGAGTATTTGTTTGCGTAGAAATTGAGTCATAAACCTGATCGGCTCGTTTAGCCTAACTTTTATAGTTTTCCTTAAATGTGTTAAAAAAGAAACATTGAAAATTGTTTTCCCAGCTCACAGAGCTAGATATGCACATATGTACATACAAGTACGTTGGCTATGCACATATAAGAAAACTCTCTTTGCGCTTAGTTGACCCTAAAGGCGTTACATGGGCTTATATATAGTAAACGAAATATTTTATTCAAGCTGTTTACTGTCTTAAAGTTATACTGTCCGAAAGCCCGCTTCAGGCAGGCGCACATCATTTTATAAAACTTGAAAGTTTTTATCTGCGCGCCAGTTTGTATCAACAAAGATCAGAATGATAACGTGACTTATAGTTTTGGGCAAAGGTTCAAAGGTGCAAAAAAAAACATCACAGCCTTTAAAATTATAATTGGAGTTCCCTCATTTATTGCCGGACACTTTCAACCCCTGTTGGGCAGCCACAAACTCTGAAAAATTGCACTTAAACCAACAAGACCATCAAGAGAAGATACCCTAGTAGCCGGAAAGTTCTCATGTTCTGAACTACCTGACGGCAGCGACGTCGACTGCATTGCCTGTTGACTCTCGAAGGAACACAAAACTCCGACTGTTGCCAAAATTGAAAATTTGAGTCTACGAAACTACGAATGGTTATGAGTTTTAGATAAAGAAATGTGACAATCAAAATCAGTAAGATGCAAGATTTCCGATTTAGAAAAAGAGAAAATACAAAAAAAAAATGTTTAATTCCAAACCATGGGACAGAATGACGATAAATGAAATACATGCTTATGTCTTTTTGTTTTTGTTGTAAATAGCAGTTCGTTATTACTCAGGCTGAAACAAGGAAATGGTCTATTTCGATAGATTAGCCCTAAGGAGTTTGGTATAAGATGTGTTGGATAAATGCGTCAAGGGATGGGGGGTGGTTATTGCCGATGGAATAAATATCAAAACAAAAATAATAATTCGCACACATTTTTTTTTTTATACTTTGTGCTTTCGAAATCAAACGTAAATAAAATGGATTTAAAAAACTTTTTTTTTATGAAATTTGCTTTTAATATACTTGAAGCTAATTCTTGGTCTTCTTTTGGCACATATTGTTCAAGTGCTCAAGAGTTAAATGTTTATCCACATAAACGCAGTCTTTCGTGTAGCTCCGCAGAAAAGTGTCCAACGGTGTCAAATCGCACTGGGGTCTCGGGGGTCTTAAAATCATAATGTTCCGAATTAACAGTGACAATCCCGCCGTTTCCATTTTCAACGAAGTAAGGCCTAAGCAATTTTCCGGACCAAAGAGCAAACCAGATAGTAAGTTTTTTTTTTTTTAATTTAACGGCCTCTCTTCAATTCTTTGTGTATTCTCGGAGCCCCAAATGCGACAATTCTGCTTATTTACTTATACCCAGAATGAGCAGTGTGCACGTGGCTAAAGAAAATTTTGTTCGAAACAGCGCCGACCACGGGTTATGTTGTTCAAGCATCCAATCGACGTATAGTATGTACGACGTTGTGAATAGTCAACTGGCTTCAGTTGACGTATAAGCGAGACTTTATATCTGATGATGCACAGTCCTTACCGATCAAGTTTCTTCAAAATTCTTTAAATTTTTACCAATTGATTGAGTTGTTGGACGATCATGTGTACCATAATCTATTCTTAAAGCTCGTGAGGTGGCCGCGTTTGAGTCTCCAGTTTTCTAGTAGGGTTAGGAAATGCCTGACTTTTAACTAAGCCAAAACATGTTTGGTTTGGTATATTTATTGGATGAGTGCATAAGTTCGTGCCCGATTCCGCTGGATGCCGTTCGAATCGTTTGAGAGTGGCGCTCGTGAAAGAAATATATACATATTATATATCGTTGTAAAGGTGACAGTCCGAACTGTAAATCAAGCATAACATAACTTCATTTTGATTTGAGTTGCTTAGTGAAAAGACGCATGGAAGATGGACAACGAAAAAATCTTATGCATCATATTATGTTATACGAATTCCGCAAAGGAAAAACAGTAGGCGCTGCAACTAGAGACAGTACAGTAAAGAAATGGTTCGCGAAATTTCGTTCTGGAGATTTTAACCTCGAAGATGAACCTCGCAGTGGACCTCCTTCTGAGCTTGATGACGATGTTCTAAGGACTTTAGTCGCGAATAACTCACGTATTTCGACGGTAGAGGTTGCCAGTGAATTGAACGTCAACAAATCAACTGCGTTTCGTCGTTTAAAAAAGGTTGGGTGCACTTTGAAGCTCGATACATGGGTGCCACATCAGTTGAGTGAAAAAAACAAAGTGGACCGTATGTCAACAGCTATTTCTTTGCTTCGACGGATCAAAAACGAACCTTTTTTGGATCGGCTCGTGACTGCTGATGAAAAATGGATCCTGTACAACAATGTTCAACGCAAAAGAACATGGAAACAGGCACACGAAGGGGCGGAACCGATGTCGAAAGGTGGATTTCATCCGATGAAGGTACTGCTGAGCATTTGGTGGGATATCCGAGTCGTGATCTATTTTGAGCTCTTGCCAGCTGGAGAAACGATCACTGCCAACAAGTATTGTCAGCAATTGGTCGAATTGAAGAAAGCAATTGATGAACGAAAATGAACGTCTGATTTTGGCCAATCGGAAAGGAGTTCTTTTCCATCATGACAACGCCAGACCACATGTTGCAAGACCGACCCTGGCCAAACTGAAGGAGATGAATTGGGAAATCATGCCGCATCCCCCACATTCACCCGACATTGCACCTTCTGATTATCATTTGTTTCGATCGCTGCAGAGCAATTTGAATGGAAAAAAATTTAAAAATGTGGAAGACGTCAAAAACCACCTTGACACCTTTTTCAACGAGAAACCGCGCGATTTCTATGAATCAGGCATCCGTAAATTGGTTGAACGTTGGGAGTGCATTGCCTTGAACATGATGGCGAATACATAATTGATTAATAAAAGCGCTTTCTTCAAAAAATTTCAATTTTAGTTTGCACTTGAAATCGGTCACGAACTTATGCACTCATCAATATATATATAAATAATATTTTTATTTTTTAATTTTGCACATTCGTTTTTTTAATCATTTATGTATGTACACTGTGTGTGTTACTGTGCGCAATTTTTGCTAATCCTTTTTTATGTTGCCCCACATTTCGTTTATCGTCTATACGCTAATCGCATTTTCATTTTCCGCGTAGCTGACGCCTTTGGAAAATCACTTTTTTGCGGAAGTGCATAGCGCTTTCACTGCATAGCTTAGTTAAGCATAAATAAATATATATGTATTTTTTTTATTAATTATTATGTATTTTCCAATCAGCCCATCGAAACAAGTATGTATGTAAGCTCATGAATTTTTTTTTTATTTTTTGTTTTTAACACATTGTTTTCTCGAATTATCTTTGTATTTAATTCATGATATTAGCAGAAGAAATGATATGGTTGCTCTGAGCACATGCTAGAAAATACCAGCTCATTATAGATTTGACTCTCATAATAGATTACATTTCACTCTTAATTGGCAGCAACTAAATGCCGTAAACAAGCCGCATATTATTATAATTTTTAATTATTTTTTAATTACAACATTTTGAGGTTTCATTTGCATCTTTAAATGATTTTAGTTATATAATGCTGAATTGAGCTGCTCGGACATAATTTAATTTATTATTATTATTTTTTATTATAATTTTTTGTTATTAAAACTTACAACGAATTTACACAATCGCCGCATGTTCACTCCCAGCTTGCTTTGTGCACTCTATGAATGATTCTTTTTATTAAAAAAAGACGTCAAAAGTAAACACAAATCTTTATTTAATCATATTCAAATATACCGTTATTTGAAGTTTGTGGAAATTATCTATTTCTCTACAATATGTTTTTTTTATTTCATTTTATTTTTTTTCTAAGTTTGTAAACATTTTTTTCTCTACAAAAAGTTTTAGTCTCTTATGTCTTTTTTCGATTTTTTTTTTTGGAAAATTTTTCGAAGTTTATGAAAATATTTTTTTCTCTATGAAATTTTCATCGATTGCGCATTCGCCACTTGTAAAATTCACTCGCGCTCATCACCTCTTTCACGTTGACTTTCTTTCAGCTACTAAACCCATCGCAAGAAAGTGGTCTTGTTTTTAATGAAAATGCAGACAACTATCCAAATCGTGTTACTGCCGCAGCTGTCTGCCACTGCTTTTGCTTAAACCGTGTATATGACCATATGTAGATGTATATATGTATGTATCTGCGATTGAGCATTTCTATGCACGAATATGTTCATATTGAAGTTTCTGCCTCAATCTCAGTTGCCACTGCCAGGGCCATACGGTTGGCATCTATTGTATTGTAATTGTGCACGCGACGCCTCTCCTCTTAACCGCTAGCAACCTCCAGCAATTATTGCTGCTGTTCGCGCAGGTGCTCACTTGCTCAAGTTGCTCAGTTTCGACGAGCTTGCGCCTCTTTGTTTGTTTAGCTCTGCGTGGCGCCACACCATGCCGTTTATTTATGCATTACATTTGCCATTGTTGTTGGCGTCGATTGCGAATGTGCTCATCGTTTGTCGCATCGCCGAATTGTACAACTTGTGCGCTTTACTTTAGCATATATGCAGGCCGGCAGGTAGGCGGCTGTTAGTTAGTTTTTAGGGTTTTCCATCCCCTCCAAATAGAACAAATTATATTTTGAGAGTATGAAGTATAACTCTACTTTCGGACAGTAACCGCCAGAATATGTGAAGTTATGAGTTAAGAGTTCATATCTGTCTGCTACGTATGAGCTCATCGTCTACACTCGGTTGCTGATTATCCTTTAAAAAACTGGTAATTTTATACCAATCCAGTTTAGCCTGTGTAACATAGCAGTCTCATCTTTCCCGAAAAGTAGCATATCCTCAAGACTACAGAGATACCTACACAGATGACAAATATTAAGCTCTCATATGTCCATTAGTAAAGAATAATATTACTCAATGAAGCCATTGCATGTACTAGAGATCATTTCAAACTACCAAAGTACGACTGGTTTGGGAGTACTTTCAGATAAATCGCCAAAAACTCTCCCTCGCTGTCGAACTCAAGAAGATGCTTAAGGGCAAGAGTAATAGGATGCGAAGTTTAATTTCTGTTAGTTTCGAAGGATTTAATCCTGCCAAAAAGATAAGCTGAAAGCAGCCAAAGAATTAAAAAAAAAAAAATTAAAACTAAGCTGAAAGTTTAAAGCCAGTATTTCAAATGTTTTATTATATTTTATGAGCAAAAAACACAGACCTTTTTGACTTCCACGCTTTAAAAAAAAAATAAATAAAATAAATACAGTTTTTAATTTTTTTTGAGTCCAGTTTTTGTTCGAATTGATCCTTCCCAGGTTCACTTCCGGAAATGCCTACGTTCATAAAATAATAGAAACCTAAACTAAATCTCAATGTTTCCAGCTAAACTTCGAAAAATGGAAGGATTAAGCACAGTCTGCGTTCGCGCTCATACGTATTTTCTCATTCTGTTCAGCAGTATTTCATGATTTTAAATGCTTTTAATGACACGCAGTCTTAAATATTGTGTATGCCAGTGGATACATGTTGATGTTGACATCTCTCCCTCTCTCCATCTCTCTCGCTCATTCTATCCCCCTGTCTCTATTTCTTCCAATTACCATATTATAATGCTGCAACTAGCCAAAACCGTAGCTGCCAGAACCTACCACTGAGAGAGCCACGTACAAAAGAGAGAAAATTTCCACCGCTTCACGATGGCTTTACCGATGTTTGTGCCAAAAGAATCAGAACCATTTTGATTTCTTATTGTACAAGGTTGCTAGTAGTAGGACCTTTGTGAATGAAATTGAGCTATTAAAATGTCTACTTGGGTTACATAAAGGAATATGAAGAGCATCACCGTCGAATAGACAGTTGCTTCCCCTCCACTTAAAAAATCTGAGCCACGTTCATGCAGATCTCCATAATTTTTCACGTGAGCAAAAAAAAAAACCAAAACAATCTTTGAAGCGCTACTGAGCATTTGCTAATTTCATTCCAGCAGCTGAACGAACGGCCTAAGCTTTTTTCACAATGATGATACTCGAGTAGCGCGCGCTCAAAGACAAACCGTGACTTCGAAGAGTTTTACGTCTTTCGTTTTGCTTGAATATTTGCCCGCTGTTGTTGTGACACAGGTGACGAACGGGTTACGTCCGTATTTAGTTCCGCTGCACTAAACCCGCTGATGGTGTCTACTTTATCACGATTTATGCTTTTATTTCGAATATTAAAGCATATTTTGTTTTTTAATATTTTCTTCTCACCGGCATGATGGTTGTGTTAGTTTAAACACGTATTTATGTATGTAAGTTTGTTTGAGTGTATGGTTAATAAAATATTTTATGACAACGTAGCTGTGTGCTGTAGACGCATTGTCCCAATGACTTGGCGCCTGCTGTGCGGCATTTTGCATTGCATTTGAATTTCGCATTAATTTTTTGCTTGGCTTATATTTGAACCACTTTTTATTTGACTTCTTCTAAATGTATATATGTATATTGGTCTAGTAAAATGTAATACATTCTTTTTGCATTATATTTAAGATTTTATTTAACTTATTATTATCACTGTACGATATTTTTTTGCCATTTTGAAGGTAATGTCATTATGCCTCTACCAATCGAAGCCCTTATCGGCATTTACGAAAAATAAGGACAATCAATTTTTACAGATTCTTCTTGAGGCCGATTCTTCATCAGCCAAATCATTTACCGTAGACAGCAACAGTTGAGAATCACTTACTGCGAGGATTGGATTATAAGGTGGATGCAAATGAACCTCCCAAATAAGTTACCGGAGTTTCTGGCGAGTCACTATCGATGTGTGTGGTCTGGCATTTTCCACACAATTTTCCTACTATCGGCTAAAGCTGGTCGCTTCTGGGCGATTGCTTCCTTCAGTCGATCCAATTGCTGACAAGTTTGAGTTAAGAGCTTAGCCGTAGGGGAAGAGATCAGAGTGGATGATTTCTTACCAATCCCACCAAACACACAACAATCTTGGTTTGGGGACCGTTTGTGGCAGCTCACTGCCCTTCGACCACGACTGTTTTCGTTTGACGTATTCCTATAAAAGATCCACTTTTCAACACCAATCACTGCCCGCTTCAGATTCAGCAGATGGAAACTCGGTTCATGAGTTATTTTGCTGTTAACTCATGTGGCATCCATACAATGAGCTTCCATGTGTAACAGCCTTTTCCAATTAGTCCCAAGCAGTTTTTTGTGCAATGTTCAGCTCCTGGGCAAGGGAAACGTTGCACATAGGGCGGCGTTATTTATTTACCCGATTTTCGTTAATTTATCAACATTTTCGACAATTGGCCATCCACACCATTGGGCATCTTCTACATCAAAGTTACCGGAACGAAATCGACGAAACCACAATTGTACAAGACTGACTATTTCAGTATCAGAACCACAAACACTGTTCACATTTTCAGCTGCCTGGCTTCTTTATCGAAAAATATCGTAGAATTTAGCGTATTTTCAATTTGCTGGTGTCCATCTTTATCATACGCTCAGTCACTACTGAGTTAACTGATCAACATCTTTCTCAGTATCCTTTTTAGTATTAAATATCATCTTTCTAGCGCCATCTAGCCAAATCCAACAACACTTACGATCTCGAGATACAGATCACTAAAGCCATATATTTAAATGATGGATTACTTTTCACTAGACAAAAAATATGTATTGCTTTTCATATTTTCTTCTCTTCTTCAGTCTGTCACTTCCTCTTTGGTTTTTCTTCTCTTTCTTCAAGTTTGCTTTTTGAAAAAGATTCCATCTCATTACTAATAAATACAGAAAAAATCGAGCTCAAAAAGGCGGAACTATTTACGGTTATTACAAATATCTTTCCGTTACACAATTGTCGCAATTTTCCAAAAAAAAAAAAAAAAAAGACAGAATTGTCAACTGAGTTGTTGTTGTTATTATATTGTTTTCAGTGGAGAAGTGTCACAAATTGTTTATTAAGTGCCATAAAATCATTTGTTGTTAGAAAATTCAAAAACCTTTTTCTTCATATGCGATGCATAATTTCATGGTGAATCTGTTGGCCTATCGTCCGATCTGCACAAAACCACTGCACATTCTGTTTGGGCGTATAACGAGCGTGAAAGTGATTTTTTCTTGACATATGCCAGCGGCGTTGTTTCCTCATCGTTGAACTTGAACTTTTGTGCTTTTCCGTTTCTCCACTTTTCATGTTTCCTTACCACCACCAATTCGTTGTTGAGTTGTGTTGGCGATGTTGAAATATTGTTATGATTTGGGCGGAAAATCCATTTGCTCGCACTCGCTGACTTGGAAGCAAACAAATTAATTTCCCGCGGCGTTATTTATAGGGTGATCAGTTTGAATAGTTGAGGTTAAGCGAAGACTGTTGTCCAATAACAGGTTGGTCCGAAAAACACGTGCAATCTCCATACGCATACATTCACATACGTGTATGCTCGTATCTCACTTTCAATTCTGGTTAAAATTTGAGCAAAGAAGAAAACCCTTTTTTAGATTTAATGACATTTTAAGCGAGGTTGTGCATTACACTTGGCATGCAATACTTAGAAACAGCTTCAACGAAAATATAAACCCTACTCCGAAAGAAAACTTCCAATTTTGATGACGTCCTCGGGTAATTTGCGTCCTGTCTTTGGGAAAGCTGAGTCCCGGCTCCACCAAGATGCTGGTTTATGGAAATCACTCTGAACACCCTGTAACTCCTTTTCTCATTTCAAAGCATTTACGTATGTACATGAAAATTTGCATTTCACGTGATTTGCACATGAACCATTGACTAAGTTTTAGATTTATTTCAACGCATTTTACGCAGATTTCATCCACAATTTAAACAAAATTTTTCAAGCTTAAACTAAAACAGAAATAGAAGCCCTGCTTTGCTTTGTTTGGTGTTTGGAGAGCATCGTAAATGCACAAAAGAAAACACACACTCCTACCATACGTACATTGTATACGTGTATGTGTTGGTATGATGTGTAAGCATTTTTTTCTACATTTTCATTTACCGTCAATCTTTTGCACGCTGGTACAATAAATACCAAGCATAAGCGCATTTATTTATTATATTTACAATATTAATTTGTTGTTGTTGTTGCTGTTTGCTAACATTTTGTTATTATTTTTTTCGGTTGCAACTCATTCGTGTGTCTGCGCATGCGTGCAAACTCGTGTGGGCTTTTATTTCGCTTGTTTCTTAATAACTCACTTTGCGCGGCTGTTACAATTGCTATTATGTTGCCTTAAATGATAATGCTTACGTTGTTGTTATATCGTTGTTGATATTTTCCTTCGCATTAGCTATTAGCTATGAATGACATAACATTCAGTGAAGCAAAAGCAGCAAAAATGCATTTAAGTTGCTGAGCATAATTTTTTTTTTTTTTTCAGCAAATGATTCACTTGTCTCTTCTTTGCATAGCCAACAACATGGGATGTTAAGACAAAAGTAATAAAAATTTTAAATTAATAAATAAGCGTAGATCATTGTCGCAATTAGCATAAGTCGACAATAAAGATGCACTTTTTGAGTAGGTTAAATGTCTGCATTAAAGTGTAAATGTATGTGTTAAAGACTTTGTAAAAAATTTGCAAGTGTTTATGGCTGTAGGTTTTTTAGTTTTTCTCAGTCAAGCCAATCTTGCGGCGCTCCTTATAATAATATGCGAAAAATGTCTGCCTTGATTTAATAAGGGTCATAAATTCTGCTACTCTTTCGAATAAGTACGAGTTGTGACAATAAAGTAATGAGACTGATTATATAGCCGCGTTTGTGGTAACCCTGAAATACCTTGACCTTGAAATATCTGCCATCGCTCTAGCTTGTTTAGTTCGCCTGCTGTGTCGTGTTGCGTTAACGTGTATTCGTGATGCTCGTCATGAAAATGGAAAAACGAAATCAAAAGCAACGCTTCGTGATAAAATTTTGCGCCAAATTGGGCGAAACAGCTTCGGAAACATACGCTAAAATTGAAACAGATGGTGATAGTGCTCTAAGCTCGCAATGGTCGTCTCCGCACGCCCCACGCACGAAGAAAGCTCGCACGAGCAAGTCGGGTGTGAAAACGAAGATTATTGCTTTTTTCGATAGCCGTGGAATTGTCTACAAAAAATTTCGTCTACCGGTGCAAACAGTAAATCACTTTCGCCCAGACATCGCTCGTAACTGGATCCTTCATAACGACAACGCGCCATGCCACACTGCCCTCAGCGTGTCTCAGCATTTGGTATCTCTGTTGTAATAACCGCAGCTTCTTTCAAGCTAAACTAACTGCAATAATGGTTATTTTGGCTACCTACGAACGGCTGAGAGTTTTTTTATGAGGAGCTTTTACTTCACGTCAGAAATACACTCGGAAGGGTCGACATTTCCTGCTGAGGAGCGAGCGCAATTAGAAAATTTAACTTAATTTTTTATTTAAACTTTCTTTATATAAGTTTTGGGATGTTAGTACAACAACAGCTGACTCAACATACAAAAAATATATTCTGACTGAGACGAGCTGTCATAGAAGATCTTAAATGGACTCACCACCTCGAAGTTGGCCAAAATGTAAGGAAATCTTAAACAATTCGAATGGATCCACGTACATAGAGACATATCATACGTATCAGGAAATTGCGAGGCCGATAAGCTAGCAGGACACAATACAATCCGAAACATCGTAAACTCTATACACGACGTGCGCATACCTCTCTCCTCTGCAAAAAGCCACCAGCAGAGAAGGAATCGAGTATGACCTTCCATAATTGGATATTCCGGATCGGATAGAAATAATCAAAAAAAAAAATTCTTTAAAAAAGGAGTGACATGAGAAGTAGGTCTCTCTGTACCTCCTGCGCCACCTACTTGCACACAGGAGTCAACCTGTGAATTTACGCTTGGTTCTCCCTCAATATTGTTGTAGATCACGGGCCTCCACTCTTTTGAAGTAGTGATGACAGAAATTGAGAAAAAGTGGTCAGCGAAATTTTTAGAAGTGGGACCACTTGCCAAATGTTACTTGTTTCGTTAGAAGTCCAGTTCTGTACCCGGTTCATTAGCTAAATACGATAAAAATATAGCGAGAGTATTTGAAAAAATTTATTCATATTCCTAAAAGAAAATATTGATCGGTGTGAGCGGAGTCGAGATTTTGCAGTATGAACTGCTATGATTAAAGTCTGGGGTTCCAAAAGCAGCGCCTTTGGTAGCTAAACTAAAAATCCTTTCATTTGTAGAAAAGTAACATCAAAACGCATACAAAAACCCGCAGTAGCTCGGCTCGAAAAAAGTTTTGTAACTTTTTGCGCCAGTGAGTCCCTCTATATCCTGCTTTGATACAAAAGTTCGAAAGCTATATTTTTTTTTTTTGGGCACAAATGTTATTTTAAGAAATATAACCGAAACTTTTTTATGATCCCTCGAAGCAAACTGTCAAGCTGTCTTTATTGTGACTCTTTTATTTTTATTTCTTCTATTTGTAGGTGAAGCCCTTACATGACGTGTACCAACGTGAGATCGAATTGAATTTGTGGGAGCCTATCAATCGCTACTGGGCGGAATGTTATGAAGCGTGTAAGGCAGCTTCAAAGCGACGGGGAACTTACCAAGCAGAAAACCGACGAATTTTCAATGTAAGAAATGATATAAATTAATTGAGAAGAATTTATACAAGTCTACTTTTTGTTTTATAATTAAAATCAATTAAATTAATTTAAACGAAGTTTAGCTGAAGTAAGTTAGTTAATTATGTAATTGTGGTGTAAATTAAAATAATCATAGTCAATTAAGTTTAATTAAAATAAATTTTTTAATATTAATTCAATGATAATCTATTTTGATTAGTTTAAATAAATATAAGCTAAACTAAATTAAATTAACTTAACTGTAAGCAAATAATTCAAATTAAATAAAGTTAATTATATTAAGTTAATTGGAATCAAACTAAATTAAATTGGCGGCCGCGATAGCCGAGGGAGCATAGCAAACTGTAATTCGAAAGGCCAGTGTTTGAGTCCTGGTTCGACCAATAAGCCAATAGTTTAAGAAAATTGCACCAAAGTTGAGTGAATCGAAAATGAAACTGCTTTCAATTCAAAATAAATTAAATTTAAACTGAGAGACATTAAAATCTATTCCAATTAGTCTAATTCCTATTTAATATAAAGAATCTTTACCAACTAATCACAAATATTTCGCTTCCTTGCAGCAAAAAATCGTTATGCCTTGGAAAGTACGTCAAGTTGAGGAGATGACACGTTTGAACGCCGCTGCGCTTGCGCAAAAAACAACAAATAGTCACATAAAAAAACGTTGGAAGACGGCCAAAAGATTTTTGTATGGACCACGTGGACCCTGGTTTACGGGGTAAGTGAAAAGTGAACGGGGCAATTAGTGTTATCAGCAGGTAAGAGCACAACAAAGTGATGGGCAGTGGCTCTCAGCCGCTTTATACTGTCATATGTATGCATGTGCATTTGTTTGCGACATGACATAATCGCGACTAGCAGTGATCGTACGCCTTTCCCTTTTTTCACTTGTGATTTAATTATGGAATTCATGCATACATTTGTATGTATGTGCTCGTATGTAGATATGTGGATTGTAATTTCTTTTAAGTACTAGTTGTAATTTCACTTTATGATTACTTATTTGCTCACTTATTCACTCTCGGCTTTGTCGCATTGCGATGGCGTGTTGAATCTGATTTTATGGTGCAAACATGCCAACGAACTATTGTACATACTTATGTGTGTATGTATGTACATAACGGTGGCGAGTACTGTGTAATGCGAGTAATATGAGTTATTTGGATTTTATTTTTAGCAATTCTATTACGCGAATTACGAATTCACTAATTCGCTGCTAAATTTTGCTTCGCTATTCATTTCATGCTTTATATTTTGCCTCTTTTTTGCACGTCTTCTTAACTGCGCCGTGGCTCGTAACATTTCAAGTTGCAATTAAAGTTTGATTCGCAACAATTGCGGGCAAAAAGTAAAAAAAAAAAAATAAATAAAAGTAATTAATAAAAAATAAGAGATAAATAAATAAAGCAGAGCCAAATGTATTATCGATTTTTTGGAATTTTTCGCTTACCTCCGTAACAATGAAAACAAGAAAAGTTTAGACTAAAGACAGTGACTGTACTCTTAATTTGCTTTTCTCTGCAATTCCTTTTCAGGAGGTATTAATTGGTCTATCTTTATCAGTATTTTGCTCTTGAAATGATTAATTATTATTTTTGCAAAATTTTAATTGCGTACCTGAGTGACACTATCGATGCATTAATGTCTAAAAAATGGTAAAAAGAAATTTATTTTACTAATTCGTGTGATAATTTCTGTATTTTTATATTATTTATTGTCAGTTTGATTTTTTTTAATGCTGTTTAAAATACTGTATCATCAATTGTAGTACCGTTAAATTTTGGATAATTATTAATCCAATATTAAGTTTTACAAGCATTAGGATTTTCCGTAGTTCTTCGCACATAAAGCTAATTTTCTAAAACGACTTTTTCCATGGAAGGATTTTCTAGAACATTTTAACCCCTTAACGGATTTTCTTTTAGGTTATAACTGATAAAACAGATCTAGTTCGTTGTTAGTTGTGTTTGAACGGCAATTTGGCGTAGAGACTCAATGTGGAAAACCAAGCGAAGAGTCAACATCAGCAACCCTATAAAACCCTATGTTGGGCTGCACTTTGGATCTCTTACCTGCTATCTGGTATTGGATCTTCGTTGCGATCGTTAAATCAATACTTTTCTACGGTGATTTAGAATGATGAGGTTATGGACAAAATAAGCGATGCGACCACTGCACCAAAAATAAAATAAATATCCAGCGTAACTAGTAAACAGTAAAACCAGGGCCGCGACACAATACTTAATCTACGAATATACTACTAGCCTGACATTCGGGAAGCTGCTGTCTGTTACAATGGAGATGAAAGGCTGAATGGGTGGTTAAAAGTATGCAGAAAAAGCTCTGCATATTTTTACCGATTGTTCTGAATTGTACGACGGACTTAGAGCTTCAGTTTATTTTTCTTCTTCTGTTCGTATTTTCCCAGCATCATCCTCCAAGCTATAAAAATGGCGTTAATGCTATTATAGAGTGCAGGTTCTCAAAGCAAGAGAATACACATTTATGTAGATAGCCAAGTGACCATTAAGGACTTACTTTCTTACAGCCCGATATGGGCTTACTTAAGTTCCATAGCAGAGGTATTTAAACCATTTTTTCTTCTTTTTCGGAGAAAACTTTCACCACAACATGATAACTTGGATATTCATAAGAACTTAGAAAGCCTGAATTTTTAAAATTTCTTGAATTTTCTTACTGTGTATTCGTACTTTCAGAGACTATTAAGTTCTTGTTGACTTTAGTTTTCATAAATTTGTCGCACACTGTTAATGCATTCCAAAAATCCTCGAATATTTTTATATTTTCATTAACTATACAATCCATCAATCATCGTATTAAAAATATTTTCATGGAAAATTTAATGCAGAACACCTTCACAATTCCATTGACATTGTGCACGTTGCGCATGCGTGCAAGTCTCATGCTTAGAACGGTCACTATCGCAGACATTTTGGTTGCGACAAGTGTCCTCGACTAGGCTTGTTGTATATCAAAGCGAGTTCTTAGGCTACTAGTGCAAAAATATCAATATTCATTTGACATATTCGATAAACGAAAATAAATTGTAATACACACACATAGATACTCATATATAATATATACGTATATACACATTCATACATACGTGTACGTACTTACTTACGCATTTATGCCGAAATCCGTTTCGCGCTGCAAATAGTGGGGTGCGTCCATTAATTGCTTTCAATAAATTATTAAAAAAAAAATACTAAATTTGCATATGTTTGGCTAAGAGCGCGAAGAAAAACAGAAAAACCTCAACTGCTGCACTTGATCTAATTTAACTGGACAGACAACCAACCGAAACGCAACGCAATGCAATGCAAAGTGCCAAACCAGTTGTCGTTTTGCTTTTCTTATTTATTTATTTGTTTATTACACCTCATTAGGTACTTAATATTTTTATTTATTTATTTTCTGTCTCAGAGTTTTTATTTGTATTCATATTATATATGGCAACCATTTGATTTTCTTTTTCATCATTTACTAATTTCGAATGCGTCCACTACTTCATAATTGACTTGTACTCGTAAATGCTGACACCTTGAAATCGATTTCATTAACAATTTTTTATAACGCTATTGACAGACAAATTTATGATAAATAAGTTATTATGTCAGTATTCTGACAGCTGTCATAAGTCGATATTCTTGGGTGATTATATTCCCAGCTTACTGTAGCAGTTGTTATTGCTGTGACTCTAACTGCGGAGAAGAGAGGCGAGATGAGGACAGATTTGCTGTTATTTTAAATTTTTAGTTAAAAAATTTTCCAAAAATAAAAAATAAAAAGCAAAAAAAAAAGTAAATAAAGGGTGATTTTTTAGCTATTATCTTTTTGGTCACACTGGTTTAAACAGCTGACGCACGTTTCGAGTTTTGTATCACTGTCAAACATCTTCAGTTTGGTCTTTAATTTAAACATGAATCGTCTTACCAACGAACAACGCTTGCAAATTTTTGAATTTTATTAGCAAAATGTGTGCTCTCTTAAGAAAATTGATCGCCGCTTCGAAGCTCTTTTGTGGCTTAATGGATGCGTAAATAAGCAGAATTAACAATGCATCCAGAAAAAGTCACCGCTTGATGCGGTTTATGGGCTAGTGGCATCATTGGACCGTACTTCTTCAAAGATGATGCGAATCGTAACGTAACTGTGACTGGTGAGCGCTACCGTGATATGATATCAAGCTTTTTGCTCAAAATGCTAGAGCTCGACTTGCATGACATGTGGTTGCAACAAGACGGTGCCACACGCCACACAGCACAAGTAACAATGGACTTATTGAGAGACGAGTTCGGTGAATATTTTTTTCACGATCGGGACCGCTAATTTGCGCGCCTATCTAATGTCTATACAGACAAGCCCGCTTCAAATGACGCATTGGAGGACAACATTGAAGCATTTATTCGTAAGATACCAGCCGAAATGTTAGAAAGAGTATGCCGAAATTGGAACTTACGGCCCACATTTGCATGATATAATCTTCTAAGATTAAAAATAAAGGTTTCATGCACTTTTCTGAATTTTATGTTTTTGTTTTTGTTTTTTGAAAAACTTTCCTATGGCTCTTAAAAATGGAAAATAAAATAAAATGATGTAAAATCAAAAAAACAAAATAAATAAATAAGAAAAAAGAAATAAATAAATTAAAAATTAAACCAAAATATAAATAAGAAAAATACAGAAAAAAATATAAAGTAGATATAAAAACAAAATAAAAGAAATAAAATAAAAAAAATAAAATAACAAAATTATTTGACGAAATAAAATAAAATAAAATCTTTATAGATAAAATAAAAAGTTAAATAAATCAAAATAAAATACAGAAATTAAAATAATGCAAAAAAATAAATTAATTGAATCTAAATAAAATAAAAGAAATTAAAACAAAATAAAGGAAAATAAAAGAAAATAAAAGAAAATAAAAAAACGAAAAAATAAACTAAATAATATCGAATAAGAAATTGTTTTAGTAAAGATATAAATATTTAAATAAATGGAAAAAATTAATTTAAGAAAATTAAACAAAATTTAAAAACAAAAAAAAAGAAAGCTAAGTGGAAAAAATTAAAAAAAAAATAAAGAAATGAAAAATTTATGAAACAAATTTAAAAAAAAAAAACGAAAAAATAAAATTTGGAAAAAATTAAGATAAAAAAAATTATGTTGGTAAGTTTAAAATAAAAAAAATTATTTAAATAAATCAATAAAATAGAAAGCAAATCAAAATCAAATAAACTTTAATAACTAAATAAAATAAAGTGGTTTTATGTTATAAAAAGTGATATGAAATAAACCAATTTTAAATATATTAAACTAAATTAAGTAGAAAATAAAAAATGTAGCATTGAATGAAGAGTAAAGTAAAATAATACAAAATAAGTCGAAAACATAAGCAAGAATAAAATTAAAAAGTACAGCTAATTTAATTTTAGCTTTTTAGTTGTTGTATTAAGTTGAGATATACCAGCGTGCATGTGTATCGGATTTTGTAATGCTTAGAATGACCGTAAGTTGTCTTAAATCAACATGTACACGCCCAACATTTTCGTACAAATATTATCTGACATAAGACTGACTGCCGAAAATGTTACACAAAACATCACATACTTGTGGATGTATGTATATATGTATGTATGTATGTTAGTAGGTAAACATTGAAAGTGCATTAGCTGATGTAATATCCGTTTAAATTTTCAAATTTTTAATTTACGCAATTTTTTAGAATGGCAAGCAGCATTCAGTTCAACCCAGTTAAGTATATGTATATATATATATATAAATATAATATATCTATGTTTATATCGGCATGTAACGGAAAAGGAGCCGCATTTTGATTGTCACTTACAAAACTGCTTTTTCGTTAACTTGAAAATGATGCAATAAAAATTTTGTTGGTTGCAGAGGAAGCTGAAAGGCTCTACTACTATCAGTAGATGAAGACTGAGCGCTTCTCGTTAAGCATAATCGTGAGCATTGCGTCAGCAAGAGTAAAGCTGGCAAAAGTCACATATGCTTTCAATTAATTTGTAGCGAAGCTTAAGCTCCCTTAATCTTTCTCCTGTTTTTTTCTGAAAGTAATACTAATTTCCAATCCATAAAAAGGAGTCCCCGCGGTCCGCACAAGTTACAGCGGGGTTAGCGTTCTAAATATCGCATATAACGCCCTATAAAGAGTATTATGTGAAAGACTAAAGCCCACCGTCACCAAACAGATTACACCTTATCAGTGTGGCTCTGGACCTGGTAAATCCACCAGTGACATTCACCATACGCCAATTCATGGATATGTATACATATGCGTATAATAAGCGTTTTGTAACCGCTGAAGCGATTTTCGGCCGATTTGTGATTCTGCGATACACTCCACCTTTTCAACGGTTTAAAAGCATTAGTATTCCTGCAAAACTGATATAATTGAGTAAATCAACACCAAAAGTGGATTGGTAGTGACCTGCAGAGCTAAATAAACAAGGCACAATCCCTTGCAATAGTGTACCGATATTAATTAATATTGGTATCATTGACCTCAACAAATGGGCTGTGAGTTCTACTTTCTCCATACTAGATAAGTAAGCGAACCGTATGGATCTGGTAGTCTACTAGATCAAGCAAGTATGGGCTCCCATGTCACTGTCGTAGATAACTTCCTCAATCTTAGAACCAGCATTAACAATGACATCCGTGAAATCCAACGCCGCATCACTATTGCTAAAGGTGTTACTTTGGACTAAGTAGGGAGACATATTAACCAGTCAGTCATTATTCGCGTTCTGCTATTAGATGCAGAAGCGTGCGTAGCTGTACAAGTTATTTCAAAATATTGTTCGTAAACATAGATGGCTGCGGAAAAGATAGTAATCACTTAGTGCCAGGTCCGGTCCATAAGGTGGGTGCATTAGGACCTCCCATCCGAGCTCTTGGAGCTTCTCGCGTGTCGCCAAAGACGTGTGTGGCCTGGCGTTGTCCTGATAGAACACAATTCGGCCTCTGTTGATCAAAAATGGCCTCTTATGGATGAGTCCTGCCTTCAAGCGGCCCATTTGTTGGCAGTAGAGGGCCGAATTGAGCGTTTGGCTATCTTCGTAGTAGATGACTTCATGCGAATCCCACCAAATACGCATCAAAACCTTCCTGGTCGTCCTACGGGTCGATTTTGTTGCGATTCAGCACCGATTCGCAGATGGGAATTCGGTCCATCATGTTGTTTTGCGTTAGTTCGTGTGGCATCTAAACATCGAGCAAATGGTCCCTAACAGGTTTCTGGCTTATCTTTAGTTCCTCAGCAATTATATAAGTGCACACGTGACGCTCTGTTTCCACTATTTCCAGATTTTCTCTTTGCTGGTGTCCATTTTTGAAGAGCTCTCACAACGTACTGAGTCAATCAATCCAAAAACTGTCAAAGACAAACTTTTAGCGCGAATAAACACGTTTTCAGCGCCGTACTAAGGACAATAACGCCATTTCTTAGACAAAGCCGAACGAACCTTTTACTTGAACTAATATTATGTACGGCGACACTGCCATAGTTTAGCGAATCAAGAAACAGCGGCTACGCCGGCTAGATCATGCGAAGACCCCAACTTTATTTACGCTGCACCAACCGCCGGTGGAAGGAAATAAAGTCAAATCGAATAATATTATAAAATAAAATAATCAAAATAATATACAATATTTATATAGTACTATATAATAAAGCAATGCTGGAATATTCAGAAATATAAATGTAATCAAGAGATTTTTTTTTAATTTTTCTCACAACCACTTCATTCTACGCGGTCTTAACCTCGCTGCTCAGAACAATATAAGAATGTTTTTTCTTTCTTTTTGTAACATTTGTATAAAATGCTATTTGATCAGCACCATAGCCAACTTTGAAGAAGAATTAAAAGTTTTAACCGTTGTCAGATATCCAATAGAAATTGTTCATTTGAAATACCCCGTAAATTGCCGATGTGACTCTAGTGAAGTTGAAGGTTGAATCCAGAAGAAATCTTTGACATCTCACGCCCTCCTCACCCATCAATAGAGTATTTAGATTTTTTTTCAGATTTTTTTGGCTTTCTCTCTACCCCCCTTTCCCACTATTATTTTAGTATAAATAAATGCATTTTTTTTTTTTTTTTTGAAATTGCATACTTTGATACACTTTATTCGGTTTACATATGAGTATTAACATACAATAATTGTAATGTAGGTATTTATCGCGGTCAAACAGCCTTAAAATAATTAATTAATTAAAATAAAAATTATAATAATAATAATAATTATAAGAAAACGAGAAATGTAACGAATAACGAAGATATACGAGTAAATATGAAGAGAATGTGATAAAGCGCGTGAATGTACATTTGTATGAAATATTGAGATATTTAAACATATACAAAAATATTTATAAAGATTAACGACAAGCCAACGAGATTAATGTTAAATAAGCATAGAAAAAAAACATTGTGCGTCAGAAATGTAGTTATGATGGTGATGTTGTTGCTGTGCAGAGTTGAATTGTCAAAGTGCTTTCGCTGAGCGGAGCGGAGGGATTCCCTGCAACCAATGCAGTGCATGAGAGTAGAGGAGCTGGAATTCAAAGTGCATATATATATACATATGTGTGTAGATGTGTTTGTGTTTGTATACTACGACTACTACTACTACTACTACTACTACATTTTTGCTTATTCTCTTCTTCTTTTTTTGTTGTTGTTGTTAATTCGTATATGTACAGTAGAATTCCGTCTGCTGCCATGCGTGAACACTTCAAATCTGCACTCAAACACTTTGCTGCACGAAAATGTCATTATATTGGCTAATCCTCGAGAATTTGAGTTAAGCTGCGGCGGCGCGGCAATCTCGAGCCACCTAGAACGGCTTCGAAGGGCAAGCAAAGAAACATGCTTCTGCTTTTTCTCTCTTCTTGTTGTTGTTTGCTTGATTTGTCTGTTTGTTTGCTTGTTTGTTTGGTTTTTGTTGGCTTGCAGAGGGCTAGTAATGTTGTTTGTTGTAGTAAGCTGTTATCGTCATCCATTCGTCGTTCGTTTGTTCATACATTCATTCATGGCATGGTGATGGCAGCGGCAAGAGGTCGGCAACGGCAAATGCTTCACATTATTTTCTCTCATATGTGAATTGACTAAGTGTAGTTGTATTGCTATGGATGTCGTTGTTGTTGTTGTTGGTGTTGTTATCGAAGAGGTTACCATTTCTGAGGCTAGAAACTTAACCGTGGAGGTAGGACAGTGGAGCAGCATAAGAAGGACGAGCAAGCGCAGGCAATGCTGGAAGTGCGGGCAAAGCTGGAATAGCACCAATGGCTGGTATGGCCTTGGCTATTACTGGAGCGGGCAACAGTGGTGCTGGAGCGAGTACTTTGGCAATTGGCGCTACAGCTTTAACGGCGATTGGTTCACGACGAACGATAGCGTTGAAGCCATTAACGGGATCGGCGGTGTATTCGACGACGCGGCGAGTACCATCAGGTTCGATGAGAGAGTAGGCGCCCTGCACCACATCACCGCTACGTTGTTCCTGTTGACTCTTTACATCGCCAGTGGAGCCATCCTGCGGAGAAAGAGTGGGTAATATGAATTATTTCCCTCCTTACGACGGTGAGCGATCTCGCGTATACTCACATGTACATCATAGCTGAAACTGTATTGTGGATTTGGATCGTATGGCTCTGGTGCAGCCACCTTTGCGACAGCCAATGGCGCGGCAATCTTTGTAATCGCGGGCAATGCAGGCAGAGCTAGTTTCGGCAGACCTGGTAAACCGGGCAGACCGGGTAATGCAAGACCGGGATAACCGGGTGATGGCAGGATAGCGACGGCGCTAGCGACGGCCACCAAAGCGCTGAGAATTATCAACTGTAAAGAAGAAATGTGTCAGTCTCCAAGAAGAAAATATATTTTTTTGCAGGAGCTCTCTTGTTTAATCCTTCTTCGAAGTGCGTACACGCACACACACACAAACACAAACACGCTCACGCACTCAGAAGTACTACACTTGCCTTTTGTACCATGATTGCTTGACTGTTGCGTTTGACAAATGAAATTACTCTGTGGTTCTATGCAAGATCAACAATTGCTTTATATAGGCGCAGCAGCCAAGCAATTTTGGTGTGCATTGAAATTAACGCCCGCTTGTACTTGCGATTTTGCTGAGGCTGAGCTGAGGCTGTGGCTGATGCAAGCGACAAATAGTTCCAAAAGAAAAAATGAATAAATATAAAATTTATTTATATATATATTTATGCAAAAGTAGAAGAAAAAAGTACCGAGCAACGTCAACAACAAAATCAACAACAACAGCAGCAGCAATATAGCACAAAGGCGTTTTAGACGCGCGAGAAGAAAAAAAATCGCTATGAACGAAATTAAAATAATTCATTTTTCGTTGTCGTCGCACAGTGGAAGGCAGCGGTGGGGTGGCCGTGATGTCTGTAGCTGCTACACAAGTACCTGCATACGCTAAACTCTTACCTGTGCACGCGCGGAGGCGGCGGCGGCCACATTCGCGCACTGCGATTTAGGCTTAGGTTAGGCGGTTAGGCCTAAAAGTGTGTCGAATGCCGTACAACATCAATATCGGTAACAACAATGCAAAATAAGAACAGCAAATCAGCAAATGGCAAGAGCACGCATGCCGCGACCGTCGCCTCAGCGTTGTGGAGCAAGTCACACACACCCATCTCGGTAACTGGTGCAGCACTAGCAGCACACCAACCGGCCTATGCCCCACAGGCGTCGCCCAACTACATAAGCGACCACACAACAACCACCATCACTACCACCATCATCGACTTTAGATGCGAAACGCACGCGCAATTTTACTAGCCTACCTGGTGCGCGACATAGCTTGGCCTGGCCGCCGGTTGTCTCTGTGTGGTTTGTTGGCAGGGCAATTTTTTTTCTTCATCGTCACTTCAAATGTACTATATGTGTGTATGTATGTACCGTCTATGCCATGCCACGTAATTCGCAATTTAGAGCCATTAAAATTGTATTAACTATATGTGAGCGTGTCGAATAGGCCGAGTGGTGGACAAAAAATTAACGAATGAAAAATGCAAATACTAAAACACACATACACACAAATGCACATGTACATGTACATACTAGCGCTCATACGAGTCTTTGGTTCATTGGCGGCTCCTTTCGTTGTCACTGATTGCGCGCAGCATTGACTTGGCTGCCGCACCCCTCGAAAATGCTGACGGCTTCCGCCTTAAATGCTCGCTTTTAATTGACAAACTTAACTTTGAAATTTAGTTTCGGCTTTTTACTGAATTGTAAAGTGCCGGAGATTGCATACATAGAATGGTAGCGGAAAATGAATATAACTTCTTTGGTAGACTCCTTGCCCGCAATTAGCTTCAGGTCAGGTGTCATTAGAGTAAGGTGAGGCATTTAATGTAAGAGATTTTTGAACGATGGCTGAAGCTATTAAGATCTTAAGAACTTTATATAGTTGGACCAATATCCACTAGGCTGACAGAAGGAAATGAAGTGCGGTGCGGTGAATAGGTTGATTAGTTGATTTATTGAGTGGAATAATGTGGTTATGGAAGCAAACGCTAGGTCAGTAAATATTCTGTATTCGACCCCACGGCAGTCCAATGTCCGTACTGTAGTATAGCGTCTTTGAAGGTACTCTGTTTTAAACATCTCCTTTAATGGAAGCTCTATATTGTGCCCTTTCAGTCAGATGCATATTATAATATCGGAAATATACCGGACATTGCCGGCAGCCGATTGATCTCAATTACAAAGAAACCCATAACTTCTAGCATGGTTCGGTTTGTCAGGCAACTCAGTGAAAAGGTCTTGTGTGATGCTCATCACATTGGATCTCAGGTAAACGGCAATTTACGGTAATTATATCTGTTCTGTTATCAGCCAGTCTGCATCGGGGTGTGCGAAAAATCTTGGAGCTGCCGTGTTCCTATCGTACACTCCTTCATTCAACGATGATACTGTTGAAAGTTCTTGGCCGATTTATTGTGACTGCCTAATCAGTGACATATCTAGAAACAAACTCGAGCGACCTCGAATTACTTTCCCCGCCTCTTTGAAGCAAAACCGGAAGCTGCGAGAGAAATAACTAATTTTTGAAATTTCCTTTCTGCTTTTCTGCACGAGAATTGTGTGAAAGCTGTCGCTGAAAACTAACTCCATACTGTATAAATGATCCTCATAAAATTTTTTAAAATCTTTAATGTTTGATGCGGCATTAATCTTGAACTAAGAAGAATCCATCTTTATCAGAATATTCCCTAGAAGTCTATGTCATTTGCTGCACCGACTATTAGAAGGAAATTACTTGTTTATTTATTATGCAAACTGAGTTTCACTTGTAATTGTTTGTCTTTCAACCTTTTTCTATTGTGACTGGTATATTTCTACTTCATTACGAACTATCAAAATTTGTATACCCTACAAACCACATGAGATACCAAATTAGCCCTTCACTGCAAGATTTTATTCTGTATCCCTCTCTCTCCCTCTTTAAACTGCCATGGTGTCGCATTAAGCGGCGCACCTAGTGTAATGGCCTAAAAAAGGTGATTTTGGGATTTTTTATTAAAAAAAAAAATACTTTATCAATTATTACAATATTTTAAGAATATATTTTTACTTGTTTCAAGAATATACAGTGAAATTTTTGAAAAAAAAAATTAAATATTTTTTAAGTTATAGTCGATTTTCAACGGCGCGAAAAAAAGGTCCTTCGCTACCGCAGTGGTTCCGGCCTTCTCCTTGGATGACAATGACCTACGTTAAAAAATAAATAAAAAATTGGCAAATAGTCGAATTTGACCCAAAATTTTGGTCGTTTTTTTCCTGCCAAAATTCGATTTTTTGATCAGATCAAAAACCGATAGGTCATTGTGCGGAGAACTATATATAGAACATGTATGAAAATTTGATCATTTGTTTTTGAGTAATCACTGCAGCAAATTCGGAAAATGCTGTTTCGAGAAAAGCGTGTTTAAAAATAAAATGAGCGCTTACACCCGTAGCTAATGAGACTCTTTAGCTGCCGAGCGGCTGCTCTTTAAATTGCTATAACTCAAAACCTATTTGAGATATCGATTTGAAATTTTAGTATGTTAAACGTGTAATCTACCGAAATATGAAAATGATCGATTTTTTTGAAATTCGAAACTAGATGTGCCCCTTAATTCGTTTACACAAGCGCGTGTGTGTGTGAACTTCAAAAGCTTATTTTCAATTAATTGCCTGAATATTTGACACACAATCTTTTTTCGAACAATTTCTTGCCTGCTCACTGCTTTATCATATTCCAAAATGTTTGCAATACTAAGCAATTAGTATTAAAATTCACTTGTTGCCAGCAATTACACCGTTGCCAGCATTTTTCTGATTTTTTGCTTTTTTTCTTCAATTTGATGGCGCCCGTTAAAACTCATACCATTTGATACATCGATGTATGTATGTATGTATGTATATCCCATGCGTATGCATAAATCTATACGAATTTGTGGCAATTTTCTTGGCATGTCACTTGTGCGAATGCAATTAGATCCAAAATGACAGTGTAACAATAACGAAATCCACCACAAATTGCCACTGAGTGCGTGAATTTTTATTATATAGAATTTAGTGATTTCAATTATTTGTGACGAATCTCAATGAGATTGTTTTTGCTGTCAAAAATTTATGTTTTACTTAGCGAAAAAAAGAAGGGAGTTTTTGTGAATATCTGATTAGGAGAAACCATTTTCAAAGACAACAAAATTACTTAGATTTGCTGTAGTAGCCTGCTGTAGACCTGTTGAAAAATAAAAATGTAAAAAAATTGTTATACATTTAATGTTCAAAGTATTGCCCATCGGAAGCTACGATGTTTGCTCATCTTTCTGGCAGTTTTTGGATCCCATCCCAAAAGAACTCTTCCGGCTTGGAGGTCAAGAAAGAATCGAGCCAATGTCTGATACCCTGTTCTGAAGTGAAGCGTACTCCGGTGAGGTAATTCTGCATTGATCTGAACAATTGGTAATCAGAAGGTGCTATGCCTGGGCTACAAGAAGGGTGAGGTAGAACTTCCCGCCCACAGTTTTCCAAATAGTTTTTAACTAGCCTTGCAACATGTGACTGAGCGTTGTCATGATGACAAATTATTGATTCGTGTCTGATCGCATATTCCGGTCGTTTTTCCGCCATTGCCTTTTTCAATCGAATCAGTTGTTTTCGGTAGAGGTCCCTATTTATCGTCTGACCCGATTTCAATAGCTCATAATAGAGCACACCCTTGGGGTCCCACCAAATACATAGCATAACCTTGGCACCATGAACATTCGGCTTTGCCGTGCTTGCCGATGGTTGGCCGTGCTTCACATTCGATCTCTTGCACTTTAGGTTATCATAATGAATGCATTTTTCTTCGGCAGTGACAATCCGATACAAAAATAACTTCTTTTGGTGGCGTTGAAGCAACATTTCCGACATACAGAATCGACGTTAGACATCTCTTGGCTTTAATTTATAAGGCATCCAATTTCCAAGCTTCTGAATGAATCCTAATGATTTTAATCGTCTGGAAACGGTTGCCTGATCAACTCCTAATACCTCTGCAAGGTCTCCAATTCTTCGTCTTGAAATTTCTTGGCTGTCTGGGTCGTTCTCTGTCGTCTGTCGTGTTCGGCTAAAGCATGGTCATCATAAACGTCTAGTAAAATACGATGGCTTTCGGTAGGACTTTTCTCCATGTTAAAGTAATGAAGAAGCACTCCCCGCAAGATGAACACAGATGAACACGATGCGAAACGATACTAGTAGAGCATTATCTTAAAAACCGCATGAATTTATGCATTGACCCAATAAATAAAATAATTTAAACTTTACCAAGCGAGACCAAAATGGCCAGAGTATGTAAAGAGGTATACAAAGAAAATCTACTAAAGTAAAAAGTTCTCGATGGTTGATTGAAGACGATCACTGGCAGAGACGAACTGACCCGTCGGGGCTAACACAATCAGACATTTAAAAAAACGTTAATGTCAATAACAGTTATCTGGACTAGCTGTAGTATCAGACAGAGCGATGTTATGTATAATTTCAATCAATAGATTGCGACTTAGTATTAGACCAACAACCGTCATGCAGTCCTTTCAAGAACGCGTGAGCAAAAAGTCGATGTGGTTTCCTTCGTTGCCATCGCACTTGGACTTTGTCGCCCTTGCAAACAGTTATGGTATTTTGGTATTTTATTTGCACATAATCCGTTTCGCAGCCTATGCCGATATTGAATTGTATAGCGCTTTTTAACATCTTACATATTTCTAGTCAACTATGCCGTTCCCGACAATGCCCAGTATATTTGCTGCTGCATTTCTGCTGTCACCTTCCTGCTTCTGCGAGTTTCGCATGTTTAAGTGTAACATAAAATCAGGCGATAGGCCCTACGTTTAACGTAGAATCTTACATGACATCATTACATACGTAATGGACACCACTGGCCTCTACTCCCTTTCCTGTACATTGAGCTACCACATCGCTTTGCTATCCAAAACTACTTCCAGACACTTGGTATGTTCTTTTGTAGTTGGCTGTTGGCCGTTGAGCAGCGGGGGGTTCCTTGCAGGGTTCTTGTACCTTTTTTTCTGAGCTTATTGAACTTCTTCGACAGGCGTTGAAGTCGCCGTGAGAAATAGGTACCATTCAATACATTCGCAAATTAGTGCCGCATACTCTGCCCTTCTTCCAATTCCAATTGCTTAGTGCCAGTAACAGTTTGGTCTATAGGCAGTCCACGCTGTCGCATAGTAATTTAGCGATACACCCTACGTTTGAAGTGCACTAGAACCTGAGACTCCCTGATGTCGACCTAATTTGAAAGTTCTTAGGCTGCCGGTAATGCGAGGGATATTTTTTTTTTTGAGACTTGCTCAATCGAGGAGGCAAACTTAGTCTATGTCGTCAAGATCATCTAAAAAGAAGTCCAAGACAGGAGCTGTTTCCACGAGTTCGAGGTAGAGGGAGAGGAGAAGTTAGATTGGATTGCAAAACATACGCTATGTACGTCGAGGTTAAATCTCCTGCATTATCTTGACCTTAAATGTGCAACTATTATTCGAGTCGCGCGAGGAGCATTCAATGCATTCAATATGGCAATTTGTCAATAGATCAAAAAAGTTTCGTGTCGATTCTTCGAAACTCTTCGTAACAAGTGATGAGGCATTCGGCTGTATGAAGACGATCCGCATCCAATAAAAGTTGTACGCGCACAACGCACTTCCAAGCAAATGGTTGCCTGTTTTTTTAAAGAAACTTTACACTTCGCAACCGTGCTACTAGAACCATACAGTACAGTAAAATCTGAGTGATACACAGCCATTTGTTTGCCAGTTGCCTTTCAATAAATCGGGAAAACCAAGAACTAAACACCACGAACAATGCGAGCTCTCACACATTGACTAAAACAACTGTATTTGAGAGCACTCAAATCATCGATATAGACAAGTCTGGACACTGCCCGTCCGTACAAAATAAACTGAGAACCCAACGTTTTCGACATCTGAAGAGAGGATTGATGCGGTCAGAACGCATGTTTTGAAGATGCTTCAATCAAAGTAGTAAAAGAGCTGCGAAAGACATTAAAGTGTTTTTCGATGATTCAAATTTGTTTTCGTTCGATAATGCCGTAAAATAAAATGCAATCCTCGTACACACCAAGATCTCAACCTGATCCCAATCGCTTCAGAAATGTTATAAATTACTTGCAACATTCGCAAAAAGGGCTTGGCAAACGTTTCATAACAAATAAATAAATAAATTTGCATTATTACGATTTTCTGCATATTTTATGACACTTTTCAATTGCAAATGATTTACGCAATTTCGTATGACAATTCGAAAAAAGAGAACACCAAAATCCCCACACAGCTTGTGGCTGCTGGCCAATGCGTGCGACATTCATTTTTTCGGTTGAAATTTGAGGCCGCACCACTGGGCGTATACGCAATTGACACTTGGAAAAAAGAAATAGAAGAAAAAAAATTGGTTTGGAAAAATAAAAATTAAAGTCTGGCGCTGTGCGCGACCGTTCGCTGATTACAGGAGAAAATAAGCCAAAAACATCGAAAAACATTTGTTTGATTACGATCACAAAACTGTTGCTGAGTGATTTATTACTACACAAATAACGAACATCTAAAGTTACATAAAATAACAAAAAATAAGATACATAAATTTAAATATACATACATACATACATACGTGCATCTGCATATACAAATAGTAGATCGCTGAGATTTTTAACGCGTTTCATTTAAATTTTTATTTAAGTGCGTGTGTATGTATGTATATTAAATGTAGTGCATAATTAACTCATAACTCGTTATATTAATTACAACAAAAACAACAACGCAAAAATTAACTAAAATGACTTTACACAATAACAAGAGAAACACAATAATATCCTGCCGGTCACACAAATCACTACACTCCGTTTGTATGTATACGTGTATAGCAATATTCGTTATGCTCGGACCGCCGCCGCTTGACTAGTTAGTTAACTACTAAATATTTAACACGCTAAAGACGATAAATAAAATATAGTGCTATACTGGAGCGCCTCTTGCTACAACAGCCAGATGTGACCTTTAGGAACTCTCCTTCAAACGCTTAACCTTGAATGAAACGTGCTGGTAGTGGCGCTGGCGCCAAAGGTACAACGGGCCTAGGGGCAACCACCGCCGGCGCTACGGGTGCACGTTGAACGACAGCGTTGAAACCATTGATGGGATCAGCGGTATAGAAGACGGTGCGAAGTGAACCGTCAGCGTCGAGCACGGAGTAGGAACCCTTCACCACATCACCATCACGCACCTCCTGTTGGCTCTTGCTATCGCCGGTCAAAGCATCCTGTACATTGTAGGCGAAGGCGTATTGTGGATGTGGATCAATCTCGGTGTTGACCGGTACGACGGGTGCGGGCGCGGCGAAGGCAACAGGTGCTGGCGCGGCGCGTAACAGAGCGCATTGAGCGACCGAAACGAGTGCAAGACAGACGACAATTGCGTACTGGAAGAAAGAGAGTTGGAAAACAGAAGAAAAGTTTAGTTGTAACAGCTGAAGTTGGGCACGTGGTTTGCTGTAGGAGAATGTACGGCAGACAGACAACGGTTTTTGTACAAAGTAATCCACTTATTTACGATCGAACTGATTTCAGTTAATCCTTTCTCCTTGTTCACCTACCTTGAGGAAAGCCATTTTACTGCTTGATTTGCTGTTGATTTGTGCACGAAAAAAATGCGTTGGTTGCCTGTACTTAGTGCTGGATAACTTTCGTCGGAATACTGTTATCAGGCCGAGTTGGCATGCTTATAAACAAATTGCGCCGCTGTCCAGTGGCTGGAGTTGAAGCTTGCCTCGGCCCGCCGTGTCGCAATGATACCATATTGTTCGTTTATGGATGAATTGCAAAATTATTGCCAGAAAAGTGCGCATTGACATGACATAATAGCCAAACAGCTGATATTTAGTGCGCTGGGAGCCCTAGCTGGGGTCTTATTTGAATATTCATAGCCGTAGTGTTAATAAAAAATAATTACATATAAATGCCACTATTATGGCTGGCAAGTGTGGCAATGTCTGATTGCTTGGCGCATGCGCGACACTCGCGTACTTTGGTTTTACATCAGAAGACGTGCCAACTGTTTAGCCACCGGGCTTACCCAACAACAGCACCGTCGGCGCTGGTGCTTAAGTGGCATTAAAATGATCGATTTCCAAATATGTTTCGTGTGTGTAAACCAATTTTAATAAACGGGTGTGTTTTGATTGTGTACGTGTGTGTGTGTGTGTGTAGCCAAGTGCTTACACAGCGGATGAGTAATTTGGTTGCGCGCCCACTGCCCCAATCTACATATGTACATACATACATATCCACGACGATGTACTTATGAGCATGCACACCACCCTTTCGTATGTATGTATGCTCGCACGTTCTTCGACGGCTCGACGCCTATGGCTCTCACGTTCCACAGCGCGCGCATTAATCATCATAATCCAAATATTTTCTCTATGGCATGTTTTATATTGCTCCTATTTCTTGTTGTTTTTGCTGTGGAATGTAATATGAAATGCAATTGTGATTAGTTGTCAACGCACCCAAAATGCCCCAGAAGACTGAAGACTGACGTAGACTCTATCAGGTAGCGCAATTATTTTTAAAATAAAGAATTTACATTAAATACACTCGTGAATGATGGTATGGCAGTGGTATAGGGTGTTTCATTATGAGCTAAGCAAATTTGTATTTTTACAGCATTTCATGTGCTTTAACGAAGACCTAAGTAGTCGCTGTCTTTAAGTGCTCAAGGCCTTGAATTAATGTAGCTCAACCAAGGTATAGTGTTCGCCCGCAAAATATCATTTCTACTGTTTTGAGATTCCTGAGAGGAACGAATGAGAAATTATCAATGCCCATTTTTACAAGCGGCTTAAAACCCTTCCTCGTCCCTTAACTTGAGCCTGTGATTACCCTACGAGTGAAGCGTCAAAAAATGACAACTAAATTTAGAAGCGTGCTCAGTCCCTGCTCGAAAAAATCAACACATCCGTGATCTGGCAACTGCACGGCTAACGCGCTTGTAAGAGAAGGAACCATCCTAACTAATATGAGCTCTGCACAATATGCGGTTACACTTTTACCAACATTACAATAAACCACAGCGAGCATTTAAAACCTCCTAGCTTTTATTAGACGTACTAAATAGCTCGTGAATTAAGAAGGGGAGAGAAGATCTCCTCACAGTAATATCAGTAATATCATCTAAGTGTGTCAGCCGCAAGCCATTAGCCATATTAGCATAGGAGAGGACGAAAATCCTTAACGCTACCTTTGCGAGTTTCTCACCTTCAATGGATGGAGACGAAATCAAATCGAGTCAGTTGTTTCCCAACGCATTGTTAAAATAAACAGGGGGAATACAATTAATCCACTTAATTGCTTTGGCTCGGCCGCTCTCAGAGGAAGTCAAGAGTTTTTCTATTTGCAACAGATATTAGTGATTGCTAAAGATTGCACAAAAACCAGTATCGAACCTTTTGAAAAAAGGTTGAATACACAAAGAAACTCGGTGTATAGATGCCACTTAAATTAACGAGAAAAAGATCATAGACCGATTTTATACCCGCGAACCGCTGGAGCGGATGATGACTAGTGATAAAAAGTGGTTCACTTTCAGCAACGCCAAACGATAGCGAGCGTGGTCGAAGGACAGTGAACCAGCACAAAGGGTCTCCACGCCAGCATTAACAGTCAGTAAGGACTTGCTGACTATGAGCTGCTCCTCGAAAATTTTTTTTTTTGAACCTACACGTATACTGTATGCAATTAGGCCGTTTGAAGGGAGCGCGCAGTTAGTTAGTACTTTTCGATTTTACTAATTTGTATGAATAATTTGCTAACCAGTGACAGATTAGATTAAGCTTTTAATTTAAATCAATTCGATTAGTCATAAACCCAACTATTCAGTTAATCTTCATTTAAACTTATTTTTTTTAACTAGAGTCAGAATCTACTTATTCTGATTAGTGGAATGATTAATCAGTAATATGATTAGTTGATCAACTACACAACACTATAAATTTATATAAACTATGGATGAGTGCATAAGTTCGTGCCCGATTCCGCTGGATGCCGTTCGAATCGTTTGAGAGTGGCGCTCATGAGAGAAATATATACATATTATATTTCGTTGGAAAGGTGACAGTCCGAACTCCAAATCAAGCATAAAATAACTTCATTTTGATTTGAGTTGCTTAGTGAAAAGACGCATGGAAGATGGACAACGAAAAAGATCGTATGCGTCATATTATGTTATACGAATTCCGCAAAGGAAAAACAGTAGGCGCTGCAACTAAAGGTATTCGCGAAGTTTATTTGAACTGTGCTCCAGCATTCCGCACAGTAAAGAAATGGTTCGCTAAATTTCGTTCTGGAGATTTTAACTTCGCAGTGGATCTCCTTCTGAGCTTGATGACGATGTTCTAAGGACTTTAGTTGCGAATAACTCACGTATTTCACGTATTTGAATTGAACGTCAACAAATCAACTGCGTTTCGTCGTTTAAAAAAGGTTGGGTACACTTTGAAGCTCGATACATGGGTGCCACATCAGTTGAGTGAAAAAAACAAAGTGGACCGTATGTCAACAGCAATTTCTTTGTTTCGACGGATCAAAAACGAACCTTTTATGGATCGGCTCGTGACTGGTGATGAAAAATGGATCCTGTTCAACGCAAAGAAAATGGAAACAGGCACACGAAGGGGCGGAACCGATGTCGAAAGGTGGATTGCATCTGATGAAGGTACTGCTGTCCATTTGGTGGGATATCCGAGGCGTGATCTATTTTCAGCTCTTGCCAGCTGAAGAAACGATCACTGCCAACAAGTATTGTCAGCAATTGGTCGAATTGAAGAAAGCAATTGATGAAAAACGTCCGATTTTGGCCAATCGGAAAGGAGTTCTTTTCCCTCATGACAACGCCAGGCCACATGTTGCGAAACCGACCCTGGCCAAACTGAAAGAGATGAATTGGGAAATCATGCCGCATCCCCCATATTCACCCGATATTGCACCTTCTGATTATCATTTGTTTCGATCGCTGCAGAACAATTTGACTGGAAAAAAATTTAAAAATGTGGAAGACGTCAATAACCACCTTGATACCTTTTTCAACGAGAAACCGGACGATTTCTATGAATCAGGCATCCGTAAATTGGTTGAACGTTGGGAGTAGATTGCCGAACATGATGGCGAATACATAATTGATTAGTAAAAGCGTTTTCTTCAAAAAATTTCAATTTTAGTTTGCACTTGAAATCGGGCACGAACTTATGCACTCATCCAATATTAAAAATGTGACTCACACTTTACGTGGGCCTACAGTAAGGCACATACCAACATATATAATACATACATACACACCACACAAGATGACATTATAAATATATCCACTGATTAAATAATAATAATTCATGTGTGATTTTCCCGAAGTCTTGACCGCGAAAATGAAATGCATAAATGAAAACGCGACCAAATCTATCATAAACCAATTTGGCTATATGCCAAAACCATATGCTGACATGTCTGTAAATATTTTATGAGTATGCGCCTGTGTTTGTGTGTACGGGTACGTTTGTTCATGAAGAAATATGCATATAAAAAATAAAGTAAAATAAGAGTAGTAATCTCAAGCGTTCGCTTGTAAAATCAACACAATTAAATCGATGATAGTGATTTAAGCGCTTGTCAGTCTATCAGTTTTTAACGGTGCAACACAATGCTCCACACACACTCACCCGCGTACGTACCGTGTTGAAACGTGATCGATAACAAGCAGGTGGTCAAGTTGGAAAAGGCCAAAGAATATGTATGTTTTGGTGGCAACGTGTGAGCTACACGGCGGTCATTCTTTACATACGCACCTACATATTGGATCTAAATATCAACTGTATTTATACTCGTATGTAGCACGAAAGAAATCTATGTTAACCCGCCCAACCGTTACACAGTCTCAGCGTTCTGACAGCCTTTTCATTTGCAATTCACACAAACTCACTGCCGCTTGGGTCATAATTCTCCTGCTCCGCATACAACAGTGCCAATTTTTATGATTTGGTAAATTTTATGTACATATATTGTGATTGCCATAAATATTCGTATTTGCCCAAAAGGTGTGTGAATTTAACGGATTCGTTGATAATAACTAATCAGAATATGCATATATATATATATTTTTAATTAATTGCGTTGTTTATTGTTGCTGCACAGTGGGTGAAGTTACACTGATTTGTGATAAATTCCTTTCGAGAACTCATGCAGGATTCAATTATAGAACTATTATTAAATTAATTTGGTTTTTAATCAATTATAAATATGAAAAGATTTTAGTTTCTTGAAAGAGTAATGTTTAAACGGTGTTTTTTTTGGGTATGTGATTTGAAAAGGGATTAAAACGCAAATAATATAATGTCCAACTAGCTGTTTTAAAAAGATAATAGTTTGCGTTTGTGGTTCAAAAACTGGTTCCGGCAAGTGCGGCGGCTACTTCGAATAGATTCCCAGCGAAAAGCCCAATTTTCAAAACCTTTTTGCTGCAATCGGGGCCGTATGTTGGCCATTACACCCCGAACATTCTCTTCCAAGGTCTCAATCGTCTCTGGCTCATCTGCGTAGACGAGCCACTTCATATAAAATGGTATAGAGATGTTAAGTCACACAGGTCTATGACGCGAAATAATGCGTCCTCTTGAAATCACGCATGATCCATGTCTTTCTGTTCCCTATTTGGTAACAAATGATCTCTGAACATGGCACAGTAATGGTCGGTATTGACGAAAACGGCAGAAAAACGGACCAACTATGCCGCCGGTACACATGCGGCACGAAACAGTCGCTCGACTAAGATGTATTGACTTTTCATAGATTACGTGAGGGGTTTTCTGAGCTCAAACTTCAGCAGTTTTGATTGTTAACGTAGCCACCGAGGTAAAAGAGCTTCATTGAAAAAGACGTTTTTGTTGTAAAAATGCTTATCATCTGCCGAACGATCTTTAGGTCATTGAATGACGCGAAATCGTATAGGATAGTCCTGAAGCTTTAGTTCTCGTACCAATTACACTTTATAAGGCTTCTTAACGATGTTTTTCTATGAAAACGATACCGAGTTGATGTTGATGGCTCTTCGAGGGTACATTGGCTTTAACAACCATTATTACCTACGAACGCACTGGCAGAGAAATTAAGCGAGCTCGCTACAATAATTAATCCAGTAACTTCCTGTAGAGTCAAGTTTTCAATATTTCTCTCAAATTTACTTCACTTCGCTCACTACAACGTTTGAAATCTTTAGTCAACGCCTAAGTGTAGGCATCAATAAAGTTTGGCCTACATTTAAGCGGATTATTGTAATAGCATAAGCAATAGAAAAAGAAACCTTTGCAATAAAGCTTTTGACAGTCCTTTGATTTCTTGCCGTTTTCTGTGCTTTTACATGAGATGTGTTGATTTGATCCAGCTGTTGGTCAGTGATACCTTTTGCGGGACTCCTTTCTTCACCGACTGCTTTCTTCACCTTCTCAAATGTTGGAACCATTTCGTGTGTCTGAAAAATGCAATGAGATTACCAATTTTTGCTAAAGCTAATGTAGCTATAAGTGTTGTCAAGGCTTGACTGTGAGAGAGTTAGTGTTTAATTTAATCTTCCTCCTCTTTGTCCATGCAATTGCTTCAAAAACTATTGGATTGATTGCCCATACTCTCCCGTGAAGCCCCATTAAACAGTGGCCTGTCGTTACATATGTAAATATGGTCGTGGAGAACAGGTCTAGAGAATAAAATGTCTTGATCTTTTCGTGTCAAATTTCGGCTAAAGCTGCCTGGCTTTTCGTTTGCTCGTTCGGCAATGGCCAGTTTAAGTTTATAATTTGCCGTGGACAAAGGTACACCTGCATCGTATGATCGATTTATTGTCGATAGGTAGGTTCCGTCTTTCATAAGTTCGTCTTCAGTGCAATTGCCTGGGCTGTTCCTGTGTCCGGATATCGAGCCCACGGCTATGTTGCATTTGAGCAGTCACTCTATGGCTTCCATGATTTGCAAATACTTCTGCTGGGATGACCCTGCAGTGGCTTGTTGTTAGTCTCATGCACATATTGTAGGTATTGAGTGCAGCGAAGAGCGAATTCTACAGCACTTTTTTCATCGATTGTTGAGCCGTCCGTAAAAATGGCTATAGCTCCCTCATAGTGGGCGTTTGTATTTTTCCAATGGTGCTTTTACATATGTACACCTATCCTTAAGGTCTATTACTTCATATTAGGATGTTCTGATTTTCATATTTATACCAAAAATATCAATCTACCAAAATATATGTTGTATGTATTTATGTACTCATATATGTGTATGCACGTACTTCACAAACCCCATGACACGCCTTTTCCACAACAACTCTTGTCCGATTGCAATTGCATTGCTAATATGTCCAATTGCTGACTTGTACAATTAATGATCACAACGTTGACCTAGTGAGCTGAGCCTATGGCTGTGGAGTTGGTTGGTAGTTGGCTGGAAAATGTAACAAATGCGCAACGCCAGTCAAATTGCCGTAATATGTATGTATGCTTGTACGTACGCAACACGGTCGACAACAACAGTAGCCATCAACAGCAGAAATACATCAATCGAGTTGTAAGCCGCCCAAAGCGGAATAAAAATAGAAATAAAAAAAAAAGAGAGAGAAAAACAGAATGAAAAAAGTGTGCGCGACCAGTTACCTTCTATGGTGAATGCGAACTGCGAAATAAATAAAATGTCAGGAATTTAGTGTTTTTGTACTGAATTCTTTATTTCAGTAAGTGCGCAAGTTAATACACGAGACACTTTGCCGCGATCGCCACTTAACCAAAAAGCCGATACAGCTCATACGCACACATACGCACACATACACATGCATACAAACACATGAGCATGCGCTGTGTGCTTGGCCATTTGGCAATCGTCGGACATATTGCTCTACATATTTACATATATATTTATTTATATTAACAAATACAAATAAAAACAATTAAAATATTTTCAATATTTGCTAAAAAAAAAAAAAATTAATAAAAAATAAGGAGAAAATTGATTAGATGCACAAACAGTTGAGTTGAATGAGAATGTTTCTTAGGTGAAGCATGCAACCGACATTCACATGTAAAAGTATGTATGTAGCTACACATACATATCTAGGTCGGAAATACTGGTGCACACAAACAGTTATGTGTCGACGGCGGCAGCCGGTGTTCGTGCAGCAAGCAGACTGATGAGGCGCGACTCTCGTCGAGAGCGTCGATGAGTCACGCGCTGTGATGGCACGCAGTGAAGATGTCGCTAGTTGCGATGAGCGATGGCGATCGCGATCGCGGGAGACTTGCGCGTTCGCGAGAGCGTGTATTTGTTGTTATTGTATTGATTATAATTATAATTGTAATTGTTGCTAAAGAAAGAATGTTATTATGCAGTTGTAGTTGTTGGCATTGTTTGTTGTTGACTTTGTTGTTTCCGTTTGCAGGCAGCAGACAGGCAGCGCTCTGCTAAGACTATAAGTAAGTTCGTAAGTTAACAATTGCGTTGTTAATTTAATATATAATATGTACATATGTAGTATGTATATATATATGTATATAAATAGCGCTTTGCAACCGCTGCAGCGATTTCCGGCACATGTAGTATATATTTATTTATTTATATATAAGTTTTCCGTTATTCAATGCGTATCTCATAAGTCCATAGATCAGTAGTAGTAGCACGGTCTCTCAGCACGAAATATTATTTGATACAAAATATCGTTTTCCAAGTCACACACACATTTCTTCCGCCGACACCTTAGTGGTGTCCGTATTGAAGGGCTGGTGCAGCATAGGCGACCTTGGCTATGGCGGGCGCAGCATATGCGACCTTAGCGATCGCAGGTACTGCCGCTACTGCGAGCGCAGGTTTAGCCACTACCGCCACGGGTGCGTGTCCGCCTTGTTTCTCCACGACCGCATTGAAACCGTTAATCTTGTCCGCTGTGTAGGTGACCTTGCGTATAGAACCATCTGGTTCGGCCAACGAGTAACTGCCATGTACAACACCATTCACAAGTGACTCTTCAGCCGATTTCGAGTCGCCGGTATGATGATCGGTTACACCATATGAGAAACTATATTGTGGATTTGGATCATATGGCTCCGGTTCGATTACCTTGGCGACAGCCACAGCTGGTGCGGCCTTAATAATGGTGGGCGCGGGTGCGATGGCGATAGTGGGCGCAGGTGCATGTATCACTTGATGACTCACAGCGGCTGGTGCGGCGGCAAGGATCTTCGGTGCTGCATAAGTGATGGCCGGTGCGGCGGCAGCGAATGATATGGGCGCGTGCAAATCCAAACCGCCATGGCCGTAGGCGTCAATGGGTGAGGCAATGGCTAGCGAGAGCCCAAAGCAGAAGACCAACGCCACCTGCAAAGGAGTAGTAGGAATGTATCGGCGTTGCATGCGTCGGTTAAACAATATCCTTAAGTTACCTTAGTGATCATGTTGCAGCTATGTGTGCTTGTTACTACGATGCTCGCTAACAAAAATACGATTGTGGTTTGAGATAAATACCCCAAGAAGCCTGCACTTTTATAATCGAATGTGAAGAATTTCCTCAGAAGCTTGACAATTCGTTCGAAGATCAAACGGTGGCAGCAACGTCAGCTCTTGCGCTCATTTGCGGTCCGGCCAGCTGACTTTACTGCCACACATACCATCATCAGCACTGTGTAGTAAACGTCAACAATTGGCGATAAAACAACATAAAATCGGAGCAAGAAGAAAAAAACATAATCATTAAATGCAAAAAAAAAAAAAAAAAAAAAAACGGAGCACTGGCAGCGATAGTTAATGTTGCAGTAGCAGCATCAGCAACGTTTTCTTAACAACAATCGTCATTTTCTTTCTTTGATTGGCATCGCAGCAGTGGTCAGTTGAGTTGTGCCTAATTGGTTGCATTGCGCATGCGTGCGATCCACACATATGCTGCCGCTGTCCATTACAATCATCTAGTTTAGTTAGAGACAGCTGCGGGGCCACCAAAAAAATTTATGGTCAGAATTTCGATTTCATCACAAAGATTTGCGCACTCACCCGACTGACGCGTCGCTGCGTGTTCTCAATGAACGCACTAAAATTCAACGCAAATGAAATAGTGTACTGCGCTTTGTCGCTCTGTCGTCGCCACGCATCTGGACGCTCAGCTGACCATATGGCAACGCCGCCTCGTACAGCGTATCGCCTCAGCGCTCGAGTACCATCTATTTTCATAGTCTATTTGCGCTTGTGGTTGGTACTCAAAACTCAAATCGGGCAGAGTCGAATCGAAATGAAAATTTAACTGCCGTCACTGACGCACGGACATAAACTACAAGTATTTTTAATTTATTTTCTTATTTCTTCTCAACATGTTTGCTATTTTTTATTATTGAACATAAAAAAATGGTTCATTTTTCAAAATGATCGCATTTCTCAGTGTTTTTCAATACGCACTTGAAGTGCGCATGGCGTCACTGACCAAAATATCCACGAATTGAATCACTGCATCAGTTGTTAGGCGTTTGAAAGATATGGAATTTGCAAGGTAGATACCCTCTAGAAAATTTTACGAGTTTTACGATGTGACGCTGGCTATGTCCAAAAACATTGCCTCTTCTTTCAAATCAGTCAAATGATGCCATCATTTCGGAGAACTCATCTTTTGAAAAAAGAATGATTGCCCTTCTGTAGCTCTTATTGAACCCAAGGCGTAAAAATTTCGAGCTACAATCGACATCGTTTTTGGACTGTTACTGTCTTTTTCGGTCAGTTTCTTCGATCATATGGAATCCTAGGTCCTAGGTTTTTAATGCCCATCTGTTTCAAAAAAAAAAAAAACTTCAGGAAATCTCTTACCCAGACATATATGTGTATGCTCCTATATCATTGTTGTAATTAGAGAGATTTCGATTCGTTTCGCAGTTGATGAAATTAATACTTGCAACGTTTTCCCTCCTCTTTGCTCCTTCAAAGTACTAAGCTTTCATTCTTTCCCGATAAGGTAAGTACGTATTTGGCGCTTTGTAACCGCTGAAGCGATTTTCGACTGAGCTCTCCTCCCGCTTTGTAGTTTAGGCCCTAACTCGAGAACTTTTCTTAGGAAAGTATTTGGAATTATCAGAAATATCATACATATAAGATCATCCAGAAATTGTGATTTTGTGAGCGAAACAAAAGCTGTAATCTCTCGCACAAGAAAAGGATCTGGCAAGTGCGCATTCTATTGTCAGTTTCGTTTGTAGCAGAGTAGATGGCAAACTGATCAGAGGCGCACCTACCCTTTTCTCTCTTGTTCTGCCTGCTTTCTTTTATTCTCTTCCTTCCTACATATCTCTCTCTCTCTCTCTCTCTGCGTCTTCCTCCCTCCCTATCTTCCTACCACGCTTTCTCCTCCTATCCTCCCTTTTCTACACTTCTTTTCCGCTTACACTCTCTCTCTCTCTGCGTCTTACTCCCTCCCTCCCTATCTTCTTGCCAAGCTTTCTCCTCCTATCCTCCCCTTGCTCCACTTCTTTTCATCTCACACTCTCTCTATCTCTCCAAATTCTCCCTCGTCCTCTCTTCATCTCTCTCTCTTCCTCTTTCTTTCTTCCTCTCTATTTCTTCCCTACAGGTCACTCATTCGTACTAACTAGTTTATTAGGCTAACTGTCTAGTGTACGCGCGTACAGTGGACTTGTTTCCCGCTGCTCGTATTGAACTTAAAAATACTTTGTAACCGTTAAGCAACTGCACATGCGCATATGGTACAATTGGCAAGCCATAGATACTGACATACTAGTATAACATATATTGTAAATGTTGGTGATATTTGCAACACGTGTACATATTTATATAATATTTCATTGTGGCTGTAACCAAGTGCGCTCCAATCGACATGAGTACATAAACATAAATACGCTTTTGTCCACAATTTGCCCCAAAAATTATGCTGACGTAATAAACTTTAGTTGCAAGCATCGCTGCGTGTAACTTTGGCAACTGCAAGTATATGCGTACATACTTACATATGTACATTGGTATTAAGCATTGTGGAAAAATGTTTAATTCAACTGACTAGCCAACAATCAGGCTCACAGACAGTCAGGTTGTCGGACTGTCCGATGGACAACTAGTCGACTTACGCATATTTCTGTACAGCCTTTGTGCCTTGGGCCGGCGGGCTAACAAGTTAGCTGGCACATTCTTAAGTTTTTACATCGTTCAATGCACATGAGGGGGTCTGTATACACGAGCGTTTAAGCAAACATATTTATGTGGCAGCAAGTGCATGTCAACGACGCAACGCTTACGTGCTGTTGCATGAGGCACTTTTTTTTTTTTTTTTTTTGCTCTGAAGCCTTTAATATCAGTTTAATTAAAATGTCCGTTTGAAGCGTCGTACTTTTACACACTCGCCCCTTGATTTGGTGCAACTTTGAAATGTTTGGAAATGTTGTAAAAATGCCCATAAATGCACATGAAAATGTTAATATGTTCGGCCTGAAGTACATAGAATATGGCCTGATCTATTAATTTTGGTGGTACTCAATGCAAATGCGTGCATACGAATATATGAGCACATAGTAGATACGCCTGCCTCTCTTGCCAACTGCCTGCATGAAATTCGAATTCGAATTCAGAGTCACGCAAATGCATATTTCATCGTGTTTATCGCCTTATCATCGCACAAGTGCGGGGCACATTTGTCATTGTTAATGGGAACCTGATATGCAAATACTTGAAAATGGTATTGCGAATATGAAAACTTCAGTTTTTGAAAGGGCAGATTGAATTACAGACACGAAGGTGAATTTGTAATCCTAGTTCCTGGAAGTGGCGCAAGTCAATTATAGAATTTTTGCAGTATATTCAAATCTGTATATGTAATTCAGTTTGAGTTTCGAGAAAAATCAAGTTAAGGTTGGCGGAAAATACGATCCATTTTCGTAAATGCCTGACTTTTAACTAAAGGAAAACATTTTTGGTTTGACAGTTAAGTTACTTACTTTTGAAACCACAAAATAGATAGCCCTATATTTTAGAGTGGCATATTAATTTCAATTTAAATCGAAAGAAGGGACGAACGAGTGGCATTCATTGCCATCGCATCAGCATCTATGTAGATGTATCCAAATGAGAGGCAAGCGCAGGAGTAAGTTCTGTCGTTGAAGCTGAGATTGAAGGCATTACAAATGCGAAGGTGCCAAATGAGCAACCATTTTAAAGGCGGATTATATCACATATTGTATAAAACTGTGGAACATAAGGAAATACTTAATTCGAAACTAGGGCGCACCACTAAACTACTTTGGGACGACTTAGATTGCAGACGGACTAACAGTAGACAAAAGAAAACTTAGCTTTCTTGCAGTAATATTGAAAGGGCATCTATATCATCTCGGTAAGGTAAGGTAGAATCGACCGAATGTAGAGCCTACATAGAGGAAGACGAATCGCTGGTGTATGTCCTTTTGGCAGTGCCCAGACTTCAGCCGATTGAGGCGTGGAATTTTCCATGGTGCTCCGAGATGGGCGCGCATGGATGGAAGAAACCAAAACACTTCATTTTATTGGGATAAGCAGGGAAGCATAATAAGCCTACTGAATACTCAATGGCTTAGGTGCCGCCGATGACGGTCCGGTCCTTAATCACCTTTTCAACCAACCAAGCAACGAAATCGAAAACGGTCTGCTGAAAATATCCACTTAGTTTAGTACTCTGAAGCGAATTTCAGTCGTAACGTGTGCCATGCTACTTACACGCACCCTGTGCATTTACAAATACATTCTTTAATCTCTTGTTTATCTTATTTATTTTGTCAGATATCTTTTTATAGCCTGTAAACCACTTCTGCCGAAAAATTACATTAGATTTCACAAAAAGTGCTTTTAATGTAGATTAATTAATTATTTTCCTACTAAGCCAGAATAAGTATTAAAAATAATCTAAAACCAATTTATGTTGCAATTTCACACCACAATTCCATCATTTTGTTTATTTCTTTAAAGTAAAAAATTTAAACGGAAAAACAATCGAAGCTAATATGCCTTTAAATAGTGGATTTTGTTTGTGCAAAAAACCAATTAAAATGTGCTTTGCGTTATCTTAACGATAAACTATGCCTGCAACGTTTAAATAGAAATACGCATGCGCATGCGCGCTGCACCATGGAAAACATAGACAAAAAAAAAATAAAATAAAATAAGAAATAAAGAGTAGCATTCCCGACGCAATCATTTATGTCGTTAATGTTTTTCGTTGTTGTTGTTGTTGTTGTTGTTGTTCGGTCTTCTGCATAAAAATGTTACGTTTGCTTAGGCCATGTTATTGTGCGTGACGATTTTAACAAAACACCAACGACCTTGTGTTGTATTGGCCAAATACCAAAGTATGTACCTCGGCGCTATTTATGATGCATTGTTTTGTCTACATATGTACATACTGGTATATACTATATTATGTATACTTACATATATGTGGAGGTGACAAAAACTACACAATTGTACATAAATAAATCTGCATTTAAGTATATGTCAGCGCATTACTTACATATTT